TTATAAGATTCTGAATTGTTACCATCCACGTACTAATGTATTTGTCGAAAAAATGTCTTATCGCACTTAATTCACTTTTGCGTCTTATACTACAACGTTGATTTGAATCGAGTTTGCAAAAAGTGGTATCAGTAGAATAAGTAACATCAGAGGTTTCCTTTTTTTACTTAGCGACTTTTTTCAGACCAATAATATGAGTCAGACCGAAAAGGAAATGTGAGATATTGCTGATGTATCTATGAAGTTTATAAGGTAAAACTGACGTGATACGTATATTAGCGTTGTAAGGAGAATGATAAAGTGAAACATTGGTATCTAGACGTCGAGTGACACTCGACGTCTCTTTTCTCGTGCCTCTGTCAAATGGTCGCGCTCGTACTACGTGGCGTCGTCCGAAGCATCCGATACGACCGAACTCAACACTCCCCCTCGAGCGGGACCGAGTGACATCATGGTCCTGAGCTTCTGGAAGCGCGGTCGTGGTAACGGCTTGGTGAACGTGTCTGCTACGTTGTCATCAGTAGGACAGTAGCGTAATTCGAATGTTCCGTTCTTGATATGCGCACGAACAAAATGAAAACGTATGTCGATATGCTTCGTGCGCGCATGGAACTTGCTGTTCGACGCTAACGCAATCGCGGACTGATTATCGCAATGAATGGGGGTAGAGCCATGGTCTTCGTCGTAGAGTTCTTTGAGGAGAAGCTGTAAGTAGAGTATCTCCCGCGCAGCAGCCGTCAAGGCTATATACTCTGCCTCCGCGGTGGACAATGCTATAATTGGTTGCTTCCTCGAGCTCCATGCAACAGGGCCGCCGTTTAGCATAATCACGTACCCAGACATTGAGTGGCGATGGGGCTGGGAGGCCCAGTCTGCATCGACGTAAGCTTCAAGTCCTCCATCCGTTCCCCCCAACGTTAACCCGTGGTCCGCTGTACCTTTGAGGTAGCGCATAGTGCGCTTGGCAGCTTCCCAGTGCACCCTGCCGGGGTTGCGCATGAACTGGGATAGCGTGGCCACAGCGAATGCTATGTCGGGCCTCGTGCTCGTAGCAGCGTACATGAGTGAACCAATGCCACGCTGGTACGGCACGTCCAGCATGTCAGCGAGTGCGGCATGAGTATCGGGAGACTGCTCCACCGACAATGTGCAGCTAGCGTCCATTGGGATCACTGCGCTCTTCGAGTCGGTGAGATGGAAGCGTTCAAGTATGGTACTGACATAGGCGTGTTGGGAAAGGGTGATGGTGCGCTCGGGTCGGTTCCGTTCTACCCGTAGACCCAATAACCAGCCGAGTTCGCCCAAGTCGGTGATTTCGAAGTACTGACGGAGGTGGTGTTTGAATTCGGTGATGTGTCGCAGGTGTTTGGATGTGACCGCCATATCGTCGACTGAGACGGTGACCACCATGTGTTTGTCAGTCTCGCGTACGTAGTAAACGGCTTGGTCAATTTGCGAACGCGTGAATCCCATCTCTAAGAATACACTTGCCAGTTCTTCTGACCACTCGAATCCCGCCTGCTTTAACCCATACAAACATCTCTTCAGCTTCAGAACCTTGCCCTCATCTCCAGCCTTCAGGTATCCAGGAGGTGCTCTCATGTAGATGTCTTCCTTGATCTCAGCGTGCAAGTATGCGCTCTTGATGTCGACTTGGTGAATTTCCCAGTCCTTCTGGGCGGCCATAGCGAGAACAGTACGTATAGTGGACATGTTGGTGGTTGGAGCGAAAGTCTCCGAGTAATCGAGGCCGTGCTTCTGACGTTGGCCGTTTGCCACGAGTCGGGCACGCAGCTTGAGTTTCTCACCGTTCGGGCCGCGTTTGGTGGCCAAGACATAATGGCAGGGTATGACGTTAGCATGACGTGGTACGTTTACCACTTCCCAGGCTTCTAACTTCTCAAGCTGACTAAGTTCATAGTCTATCGCCTCTTGCCATTCCACCGCGTCTGGACCGTTCAAGGCTTGCTGGAGCGTCGGTTCGGGCTCTGCTGCTGCTAGAGCCCAGTGGGTAAGTGGAGCGTCGTTTCCGTCCTCGTCTGGGACAGTCGCTATAGAAGCTGACTCCCCTTCATTCAGGGCCTTGTAGTACCCAATTGGAGGGCGAACGCGCGTTGCTCTGGGGGCAGTAGGTTCGGGGAGTGGTGTCTGGAGCTTCGGTGGGGTAGATAGTGTGGGTGTCGAGACGTGCTGATCGTTACTCGCTGGCAACGGCACCTTCTCCCCCTCGATCGGTACGTCTGCAGCCACGGTTATAGTTGTGGGCACGAAACTAATGTTTCGTTCTACAGAAATGCGACGCTTACCCGGCCAGTAGACCCGGTACCCTTTGCTCTGGTCGTCCACGCCTATGAAAACCGCCTCCTCCGCCCTTGCCTCCAGCTTCCCAGCGTCCTGTAGGTGGACATACACCTTTGCGCCAAACTCGTGGGCCTGGGCCAAATTGGGACGGCGACCGTGCACCAGGTCGTATGGGGTGTGTCCTGGCGTTGCCCTTGAAGGTAAGCGGTTACGCAGCCAGCTGGCATAGCTGACTGCGGCAGTCCACAGGAACTTGGGCACGTTACGTGCCAGCAACATCGCGCGTGTCAACTCGACTAGCGTCCTGTTGAGGCGTTCAGCGACGCCGTTCTGCTGGGGAGAGTCGTGTACGGTGAGTTCTCGTTTGATACCCTGACCTGCTAAGTACACATCGAATTCTGCACTTAGGTACTCTCCTCCCCGGTCGGAACGCAGAGTCTTAATCTTCGCGTCATGCTGCCTGGTGAGTCGTGCTTCATATTGTTTGAAAGCTCCAAGGGCCTCACTCTTGTGCTTCAGGAAGAGGATGTGCGTTTTGCGGGAGTAATCGTCAGTGAAGCTCATGTAATATGAGCTCCCACCTATGCTAACAGTTTGTGCAGGTCCCCAGAGGTCAGTGTGGATCAACTCGCCATACGTCTGCGCACGACGTTTCGACTCCTTTGGGAACGGCTGCCTCGCAGCCTTTCCCTTCTCACACGCCTCGCAGAATTCTGGTTCCGAGGCGGAGTCGAGCTCAACGCCTTCCACCAAGCCCTTTTCGACAGCGGACTTAACTGCCGAGTGCGATACGTGTCCCAGTGCACGATGGAGTTCCCCCAAGGTGACTTTTCCCTTGGCTAATGCAGCATGATGCTCGTGCTGACCCGCAACGGTGTATAGGCCGTCGACATGAGGTATTTCGGCGATTACTTGCCGTTTGGGACCCATGGACAAGATCCTGCAGTTGGTCCCCTCGAAATGGACTGATAATCCGGCGGCTGTTATACGGTTCGTCGCCACGAGCGTATAGCTCATCTTTGGCACGTGCAGTGCGTCCTTGAGGGTGACTCTGGTCCACTTGGATCCTAGCGGTAAGTGCATTCTTACATCACCGCGACCTATGGCACTAATTATCGAGCCGTCTGCAGTTCTAATGTCGAGGGGTTTGATTGGGGTATAGGAGATGAACTCGGCTCTGTTTGGGCAGAAGTGGGAGGTAGCGCCGGAATCAATGATTGCTGTGCGGTTCTTTTCGGGTGAGTCGTTTTCTCCAGTCATAGGCACGCTGTCTATTAACGCGAAGGCGTAGTTATCCTGGGAGTCAGTGGCGGCTGCTGCTGTTGCAGCAGTCTTGTTCTGTCTCGCCTTCTTCTGACATGGGCCCTGCCCTTCCTTGCCGCCTCCCTTCCTCCAACAGTCACTCTTGTAGTGGCCTTTCCTATCGCAGTTGTGGCACACCACGTCTGCGTTCTGCTGGTTGGAGTTGCCAGTGTCACGGCGACTCCCTTGGGTGGCTCTAGCTGTAAAAGCTGAGTTACTCCCTTTTTTTCCAGTTCTACGTTCTGAGAGCTGACGGTGCTCGTATTCCTCGGTGACCACGCTGATCAACTCATACGGGGTAAGCACCTTCGTGGCTATTTTGGCCGCTGCGTTTATTGACGAGACCAACGGGCGGTAGGATTCGGGCAATGAGCCCAACGTGATCGCGTAGAAATCGCGGTCATCTATACTAGCGCCCATGCCCGCAAGCAATTCTCGGAGGCGTAGTTGCTCCCCGAAATGCGCTTTAACATCGCCCCCTTCCTCGCATCTCAATTCCTGGAGTCTGCGGCGGAGGTCTATCTGGACCAATTCAGTTTTCCCTTCGTGGATCTTGCAGACCTCGTCCCAGATGGAGGCTGCGCTGCCTAGGTTTTGGATCCGGAGCAAGAGCTGATCGGAAATGGTACTGAATATTTGTTGTTTTACCATTGAGTCCTTTTGCTGGTATTCGTCTATCTGATCATCTAGGTCCTCGATTTCCGCATCCGTTGGCTTCGAGCCGTCCTTCTTCCTCGGTTTCCCAGTCGACAGGTCAACCTCGAAAGGGACGGGCTTTTTCTTACGACCGTCGATATATCGCATCAGGCCTCGAGCGCCAATCGCCGTCAACATTCTTCCCTTATAGGTTATCCAATTCAGGCCGTCGTCGGCGAGCTTTGGGATGTTGAAGAGCGCGGAGTTGGAGCTGGGGAGCGAAGTATCCATGGTAGTAGCAGGGCTCATAACCTTTAGAGGTTCGAGGCGAGCGGATCAGGAGGGAGCTAGTAGATAGGGACAATATATCTCAGTCTATATTTTGGGACTCTTAGTCCATGTACAGTACCTAGTAGATAGGGACAATATCTACTCGTTTGAATCAGTACGCGCTCTAAAGTAAGTTCGAAAGTAACAACTCACATCTCAGTCTATATTTTGGGACTGAGATGGTAGTTCGATATCTATGAAGTTTATAAGGTAAAACTGACGCGATACGTATATTAGCGTTGTAAGGAGAATGATAAAGTGAAACATTGGTATCTAGACGTCGAGTGACACTCGACGTCTCTTTTCTCGTGCCTCTGTCAAATGGTCGCGCTCGTACTACGTGGCGTCGTCCGAAGCATCCGATACGACCGAACTCAACAGTACACACTGTGAAAACTTTACCATCCACTAATTTCAGGCGAGTTGCGATCATGGGAGATGCCGCACATGCAATGACGCCGTTCCAAGGCTCTGGTGCTGGCCAGGGCATCGAGGTCGGTTATGCACGACTGCACTCCGAGAAATCTACACGTGCTGATTTGATTTCATAGGGTGCTTACTTGCTCATGACCGTTCTTGGTCATAGCCTAATCTACAACCCTAGAAACAGTACCTAGGGCCCTCGCCATCTACGACAAGTTGAGAAGGCCATTCTCATCAGAAGTGGCACTGCGCTCGATGCGTGGGGGCCAACTATGCGCGTTTCAAGAGGACGTCCCTCTGCACGAGCTCGGTGATGCTCTGAAGGAAACTGTCAGGCTTGTGGAGGACAGCCCGATCGATGTCAACTGAGAGATCTGATATATGACGTGTATTCTGGCTCGGAGTTATGATTACTCGACTGTTTCCTCTAGGTCTACTTCTTTCTAGATACCACTATGTAAGTATTGTACGGATATTGATACACGTGCCCTCCTCCTTGTTAATCCAAACTCTACCATCTCCCCGCTCGAGGATACCTGTAATGTTCTCCAGTACCTTAGCCTTTTCGTCTGGAGGGAGCACGGAAATGTAGCTGTTACTCTGAGCGCGATCCGTAACAATTTGTTCACTAGCAAGAAGATGATATGCCCATTCTGCCTCCTCCTCAGGATGGAACAAGGAGGTATACTCGGGTGTAGAGAACGTCTTCCTCCAGAGACCGAGGCGAAATTGGGGCGTCCCTTGCTCATGAGCTTCGATGCAGTCACGGAGTTGTGCAACCCAACCTGCACCGTCTCTTCAATGTTGTCAGACAATTTGATACAAAGCAAATAAGATAAACAAACCTGTCTTCAAGGTTCCAGATAAACACGACTGCGCCATCCTTCTTCAAGATACGACCGAATTCAGCTGACGCTTTCCCATAATCGGGGCACCAATGGAATGCCTATATATCAGACGGGTAAACGCCTACACCTACCTGATTCAGCCCTTACAATACTACTTACCTGTGCAATAATGATAAGGTCTGCCCACCCGTCTTCCACATCAGTGTCATCAAATGTCCCTTTGACAATAGAACTACGAGTATCATTGACAGTCTTCCTCCACACATCACGCATGCCGTCGCTAGGTTCGATAGCTCTCAGCGTACCAATACTCGTGACCCACTCCGAGTGAGCCAACAAGGCACGGGTGAAGATACCCGTCCCTGCCCCAATTCTGAAAGCTAATTGAAAAGAAGAAGTAAAAGTAGTGTGTGTGACTCACTCGACAATATTCAAAGGTGCCGTGCTCTTGGATACCTGGCGAATGTACGAAAGACACTCAGTTGGGTACGAAGGGCGAGCTCTATACACAGCTCATGTATTAGTGCATGTGGATCACGCGGACCGAAGTCAACTCACCGATCATACAGTTCATTCGTCCCAGCGCCAAATCCTGTCTCTGCAACAACATGTACCTTCGTCGTCATGGTACGTATGAGCTTCAAACTTTACGTAGAAGAAGCGAAGACGAATCGTTGAACTCGCAGAGATACGAGGCTAGTTATCATAGGTGGGGAGCCAGCGCAGAGACGTTATTTATGTGCATGCCATGCAGTCACGGTCGCCTTCAGAGACCCTGACGATAGAAACGCCGAAACTGCCATAATGTTAGCCAACTCTGATTCTACTTACGTAAACTCTGGGGCGGCTTCGAGCGGAGTTTAAACACTGCTCAATGGCCCGCTGAGTCGTGGTACGTAGTACGGTAGGCTTACATATCATATCGATAAATTCTTGAACTTTGTCTGCTCAAGTCACACCGTGAAGAAATCTACAAATGCAATGCACTGCTACATAAAATAGTCTAAATCGTGAATGTCATCATATAGGCAGGCGTGGGAGCACCGGGGTGGGTGAGAGGTGTCGGGGCACAAGACAGTCGAGACATCAGTGGGTATGCAAGAGTACTCGCGCAGACAATGTACAAGGGTGACGGTAGGCACAAAGTGTGGGAAGGCTCATGCAAGGCGGTAAGGGAACACGCGAGAGTGCGCGCTCGATGGTTCCATTAGTTATAAGCTTAATACAAGTGAGAGGGGCAACAGGTGCAGGAGAACAGCGGGATGTAACAATGGACACGAAAAACCATCCGAAGGTGTTGGGGAGCAGGGCGCAACAGAAGTACTGTCTACTAAAATATTAGTGTCACAAAGTGTGTATGGGTATTCCGAAGGACATGCTCTAGGTCATTGGGAGAATTGGTCGTGAGTTGAGTTGTACTAGATTGCATTCCTAATTGTGCGGGGTAGTTCATCGTGTGTCGTTCAAGTTATTACAAAACAGTAGAATAAAAAAGAAAAGTAATGGTAGCGGTGAGTATAGAAGCAGGTGGCGGATAGGAGAGGAGTAGAGCTTGTGGAGCGGCAGGCGCAAGTTGCGATGGTGATGAATAGTACTGGGGTAGCCAGCTTCGGCTTATACTGGTCGTGCGCCAGTTAGGTGAGCAGTAGGTGGGCTCACTTGATTTTTCGGTTCGATTCCCCTCGGATTGGCGATGCTTAGTGATGCTCGGACTGAATGAATTGAGCAGCCCTGGATTGTTACTTGGTCAGGGTGCTGTGAGAGATGATTGTTTAATTTAATTGCTCAGCGGACAAGCGAGGAGCGAGGTCACCGAGGGTGATCGGTGTCAAATGTTTCCAAGCCTGCACATACCGGTAAGTGCCTAGACTGTCACTGACGGTCATCATTCTTCACCTTCATGCTCTCCCTTTCAATTCGATCATCGTCATTGCAGAATTGGAAACACAGACCGCCAGCCATACAGCCAGATTTCTACATCACCAATTCTGTCAATTCGACATGACTATAACCACCCAAGAAACCAGATAAGTCGATATTCCCTGGAAAATCAACGAGTACTTCAGGATACATAGATATGGAGGACGCTATATGCATACTCTCCGCTTGAAGATGACGAGATAAGCAATTCCACCGCCTTGGCCGATTTTTGTTTCAGACCTGAAGGATAGACGTAGACGACGAGGACTGGGTACAGGCGCTGCATCTTGGTGAACACAAATCTCTGTCAACTGATACGTATACAACGCTCGATGGTGGATCGTCCGAGGAACCCAAGTAAGATGTCTTTTGATGAGATTTCTGCGTTGCAGATGCGGAGGTTATCGCTTTGAACTATCCGCTGGCTGAATCTTATACGCCGAGGTCTGTGAGGAGGTTCGCAAGTTGGGAGTCCGTGGATAGATATATGAGCGGTGCCAACGGGTAGAAGAAAGAGAAGCGGTGTTAAAGAGTCGCATGCGAAGCACAGTCGGACCGGCATCCCAGCCGAAGATCATCAAAATCATACAAATGTTCATTTGCTGTTGAATCGCATGACAGCACATGTCTCGCAAAAATGGACGCGGACAGCTCAAAATGCTTCGTCTGATGCACGTGTTGAGTGATATATCAACTCCATGGATAAATGCACGAGCTTCCCATGCCACGGCACGCGTACGTCGCACTCGAGTTGGAAACCGGATATCGGTAGGTGCTGCGATTCAGAAGACAAGAAGGTTGACTTCCGCAGTTGTTATCTGTTGATGGTATGTTGCTTTAGGACCAGCAGGGGATTCCGGATCTATGTTTTCCTTGACGATGGTATTGTCCAACCCGCTGCCCAGGCTTCTCAGCGGCAGGGTCGATTGGCGAAAAACACGCGTTGGATGTTCCGTAACCTAGCTCCGGTGAGTTTGACTGATGCTGGGGGGAAATGTATTCACCAACGCGCCAGGTGAGTCCAAAGATGGGATCAAACTTGACCGCTGAGTTGTCTGTGCTGCGTTGATTCTTGAACGCTTGATGTTTGTTGAGGCCGACATCGAAAGACAATGAAAACGCATACAGGCGCTTGTCATGTCGATGTTTGATCGGGTTATCGACATGCATCGGGCCGTGGTCGCCAGTGGCCGCGTGAATGAAGGGACCATGTCGATGAGTTGATACTCTTTGAGTTCAAGGAAATCACAGAGTCTCAACCGGACGTGACAGTCTGACATGGTTGATATAAAATTGGTTATGTAATGTCAAAGCAGTGATACAATGGACACTTTAAAAGTAGTAATAAGTTGTAGAGTCACTGCCATGTATTAACCCTGGCACACCTCATAACCTCGTCCTAGTCAGTTCCTGTATGTGAATCCTTTCTCAAGACACAACCAAACTAACCCACCATCGCTTCATCTAGTCCCATGAGCGAAACACTAAGCACACCCCGAGCAGGTCCCAGTAACACAAGTGGTGACAAATCAAACACCTCACCACTCCCAATACCACCCCTCGCACGTTCCCAATCACACCATTCTACCGCCTCAAAGGCTTCGAAGCCCATCTCTCGCACTAGTTCACAACCTCCGACAAACCGTGAAGTTCTACTGCTCCTCGCAGATGCAGAATCTGCCGTGCGCGATCTCCGCGCAGACGTCTCTCTCTTGAATTCACAACTCTCATTCGAGCAGGACCGTGCTGATAATGCAGAGCTTAAAGCAAAGGAAGCATGCCTACGGTTCAAAGAGGCCAACGATGCGCGCGTAGTCTCTCAAAGCGAGATTGTACGACTGACAGAAGAGCTAAGACTATACAAAGACGCTCTCGAACAAGCCCAGAAGGAGATTTTCCGTGCGCAGGGCGTGATGAAGGACGTCGAAGACAGGAGGAGGGATGCAGAGGAGAGCGCTGCAAAGTCAAGGACTAGGTTGCGCAAATTGATGGAGGAGAAGATGATCGAAGTCGCTCGTGAGGAAGGCCGTAAACAGGGTCTCCAGGAAGGATTGGAGATGGGGAAGGATATGGGGTACGTGCATGGGCGGACAAAGGGTTATGCACAAGGTCGAGTAACAGCAGATCGTGTCCTCGACCGTTACTTTACTGCCCCCAGTGACGATGAAGGTAGCGATTCGAGAGGTGGCTCTGTTGAGGCGCAGAATACCCCACGATTCAGACCAGAACCAGTATCGCGCACTTCCAGCGAACAATCACGTCCTCGTACGCCTACACGTCCTCGTACGCCTACACGTCCTCGCACACCTACACGCCCCCGCGCTCAACCACAACCACAACCACAGCAACAGCAACGTCCACCCCAGACCTCATCTGCACGCAGTACTATGTTCTCCCCTGCCAACGCGATGGACGACATTCCTTCAGATGGTTGGATTCCAGAAGCTGATTCTTCTCTCATCATCCGCTTGCCACCTCCACATGAGTTTCAGCGCTCGCGTCGTACGCCCTCCCCCATTTGTTCAAGTCCTGACACACCTTTGCGCTCCCTACCCCAAGATCCTGTACTTATGGTACCAGAGCCTCGATCTCCTGGCGCGCCATTATATTCGGTCCCTGCTTCGGACTCTCGTAACCAACGAACGGTACGTCGGAGAGCTTCGGGTACGGAAAGTATGGCCTCTACGAGGACGTCGGAACTAGAGCTGCTTAGTCCTCCGGAGCACCATCAATCTAGCGGGCTGAGTGTCATTCCTGAGGTTACAAGCGTACGTGAGCAGAGTACGCCTAGTAGCCGGAGCATGAGAGCGAGCGTAGAAGAAGAAGCAGACGAGGTGTGTTTTACTCAACAAAACTCATTTGTGGCGTGCGTGCTGATCGAGTTGCAGGGTGGCTTCGTACATGTTTCTATGCCAGCCCCGCGTTCGTCTAGAGAACAGATTCGGCTGCAGAAAACACCGTCTACTATATCAGTAGCTAGATCACCAGCACAACAATCAACGCGTCCCATTAGTTCATCATCATCTGGTACCGTCAACATTACGATCCAACCGCCCGTGAGTAGCCTCTCTTCTCAGACTATTGAGCGCTGACAACCGCGGCACAATTCTAGTCACGTCCCGCATCCAACATGTCGCAGGTAACACCATCTGGGCAGCGCGCGTACTTCCTCAGTCCCGCAGACGCTGACCGCCCATTACCACCACCACCACCATCGTCGTATTCTCCATCACCAGCACACGTGACACCGTCGATGGTGCCTATACCGCCTACAGGTAGCACGATGTATTCAAACTTACCTCCAGGCCTCCCACCTGGGTTCGTACCCACCGGTCCACCAACCACGCGTTCATACACGCCAAGCAGCAGCCTAGCACCTGCCAGCTCCTCCCAACACGGTCACCACCAATACAGCGGACCCACCAACCACCAATACGCCAGCAACACGATCGTAGTCCCATGTAGCCCCAAAACGATACACGACGACCCGAACGAACCAGTAGTGATCCCCCCTCCCTCTCAGAAGTTTGGGCCTGAGTCGGATGACGACTCTAGTGATACTAGTAGTGATGCGGGGTTGCAGACGCCGAAGAGGAAGTATAGGGCTGCGGGGAGTGCGGCGAGTTTGTATACTGCCACTGCTCCTGGGAGTGGGACGAGGTATTCCGTGGGGATGGCTTTGAATGGGAGTGCGGGTGGGACGCCGAGGGTGGGGTCGTATGGACGGAGTGGGAGTGTTGGTGGTGGTGGTGGTGGGGAGGGGTATGTGAGGAGTGGAGGGGAGGGGTATGTGAGGGGTGGAGGGGAGGGATATGCGAGTATGAGTGCCAGTGGTAGTGGGTTTGGGAGGATGGCGTATGTTAGTGAACAGGGGAGTGTGAGGGGGTGATATTCACGATTTATGATACGATGATTTACGAGTTTGAATTTACGAAAAGGTGCTGGCTCCTTCTTATATGGATTGGCATGACATGCGTTATAAATACTCTATCTTTTGTCTTTATGGAATATGGAATACAAGGTTAGACTGTTATTACAAATCTGATAACTCGACAGGGTTGTTTGGAGTTGTTTGTAGAGACACGGGGTCAACCCGGTGGGATCATGCAGGTGAGTATAGTCTACTAGTACTACTAGTGAAGGAATCAAGTATGTCTGTCGTTCCTGTGGCTAAGCCTCACAAGGTACAGGTCAGTTTCTTTCAAGTTTACATAACTCGGGAACAGACATCAATACCATCAGATAAACCCCCACCGCACTGTGTCCACGGACGTTTTGACATATCATCCGACAGGGACGTGTAACGTCGGCAATTCCTTGCTATCAGTTGCGACACTGATACGGGATGCACAGTTGGACGTATGGTTACCTGTTCCGCTGTGATCGGCTATCCCATATATTATAAGATGTGGTGACTTTGATCCAAAAACCTCTGAATTCTACACATGAATTCTACTCATCCTCCCGTGCTAGTCGTAAGTGAACGGCTTATTATGGATGGTTGCCCCTCAGCTTAGTTCCTCTTTCTTAGGTGGGCGCTGGGCCAGCAGGTCTGGTAGCAGCGTTAACCCTCCTACAGAACGGTATACCGGTTCGCATCATCGACAAAGACCCTAACCCTCGAATCGGACAGCGTGGTCCTGGAATCTGGGTGTGTCATGACAACACTTCTCTAATTTCCTATAGTCTCATTTAATGCATAATCCAGCCACGCTCCTTCGAACTATTCAACTTCCTGAATGTCCCAGAAGTTAACGAGCTGGCGAAACCTGTCCTCACAATCCGTTCGTACAAGCACGGGACAATGGAATTTGCGACAGAATCTTTGGTGACCCGGCATGTGGAACCTACCCCTACGATACCATTCGTGCGTACTATACAGAACCATCTCTCTCAAGCAGTCATGCTGATGATTTTCTCCTATTGTAGCACGTTCCAAAGCTGATAGGTCAGCAACTCCTAGATGTGATTCTGCGACGTCACCTAGAGAAATTTTCGTGCTCTGTCGAGATGGGCACAGAACTGCGTTCGTTCGAGCAGTCTGATGAAGGTGTCACGGCTGTTCTAGCAAAGAACGGCATATTGGAGACTTTCAATACCAAGTGGGTGATCGGTGCTGATGGTGCTAGAGGTAAAACGCGGTCAAATTCAAGTGCAGTAGGATGAGTCTGAGTTATAGTTTGTAGGCATCGTGCGTAAACAGCTCGGGCTTACATTCTTAGGCGAGACTAGAGACGATATCCGACTGGTCATGGGTGATATTCGTTTACATGGTCTTGATAGGGAGGTGCGTCCGAATTCTACCTAATCCATGAAGGAGTGCTCCTGATACTATCTTGAAAGTATTGGCACCGGTTTGGGACCTTTAAGCGAGGGTATGTCCAGTCTCTACTCTTGAAGGTTGCGGATGTGTGTATTGACGCTGGGCAGCGTCTCATTGCGTCCAACAAACGAAATTGGCGAGGATGGCTGGCAATTTGTCATTATTGATAATGATCTAGACACGACAAAGGTCGCTCAGAGCGAAGAGTTGATCTTCGAGATCATTGCATCAGCGATACCTACTGAGATTACGTTCAACAAGCTTGTCTGGGTGAGCGAGTTCAGGTATGTTTTATCTTGTTACCTAGATGCGTTTTAAATGTTCATTTGTTTACTTTAGGGCCAATATCCGCATGGTAAACACGTTCAGCGAGGGCCGAGTCTTTGTTGCGGGCGGTATGTGGTTCTACTTTTGAATGATGTACCTGTGCTGATGGAAGTCTACGTAGATGCTGCTCAGTATGTCTATTTTTGAGCGCTTTCTTGCCAAACTGATTCTGACATATTTTCAGTGTCCATAGTCCGACCGGTGGTCAGGTGTGTGCATTCTGATAAAATTCAGATGCTTACTCATCCATCTATGAATAGGGACTCAATTCAAGCATACAAGATGCTGTAAGTCTTGCAAATGCAGTGCGTATGACACTACTGACTGTATACCAGTTCAATCTAGGTTGGAAACTCGCGCTCGTCGAAAAAGGCCTTACCGACAAGTCTCTTCTTGAGACGTATAATGCCGAGCGTCTGCCTGTCATCTCCGAGATGCTCGAGATGACCACCACGATTCTCAACCAGGCATTGAAGACGGACAGCATGACCGCTGCACGAACCCCCATCCTTTTCATGCTTGGTATCAATTGCCGATTCAGCAACATTGTTCTCGACGAGTTTGCAATCCCAGGGAAGCCTATCAATGCGTACGGGGTGCTCGACGAGGAGCACCTAGAGGCTGGAGACAGAGCACCTGATGCACCAAATTTGGTCCAGGTGGGAGGTGGAGAATCCGACGTGAAGACGCTTTTTAGTCTTTACAGACCTTGGTATCACACTGTACTTGTGTTCGCGCCGAGTCACGCAGAAGCTACCCCGATCTTGGGTGCGCTGGAGGTATATGACACAAGCGTTGTGCGATCGGCAGTCGTTCTGCCTTCATCCGCATCAGTGACGTCTGTTGCATCCCCTGCTGACCTTGTTTTTGTTGATCAGGAGGGCCATGGTTATTCGGCTTACCTCGTGGAAGTTGGCCAGACGAGGGTGTTTGTGATCAGGCCGGATGGAGTGATCGGGGCAATCGTACATGGTACAGAAGGCGTGAAGAAGTATTTCTCCGGAATATTTTTGAATGTTTAGTTATTTTTGCTTGTGCTCTTACATCTCAACTGATTCGTATTTTACCATCAACGTAGTTGTTAATTGGCGTAGAGGTCATTGCGTTGCTTCCGCTTTCTCTATAAGGAGTTGAAAGCAGGCCGGTGGTTCGTATAGACATCTTTTCTTTGCAACTACTACACCCATAATATTGTCAGCAGTGTATCTATCGTTAGACAAACAATCAGACAAGAACCCGACAAAGAAGTATGATGAGGGACAGGAACATGCACACCATGACATCATTCCAAGTATGATCCCAGTCTTCAGGCACCGCTCAGAAATTTACAAATAGAGACGCACGGAGCACTTGAGTTCAATGATCTCGTCAGGATGGGTCGATCAGCACGTCCTTATATCTCTGTACGTGTGAGGTTGTAGCCGCTCCATCACATACACTTCGATTGAGACTGGCTGCCATGAGAACAACGGTCGAGTTGGAAAGTCTGAAGGTGATGACAGGAATACCGAAGCACCTGTGTCACATCAGCATAATATCCAAGGGTGTATTTGATAAAATTAGCTTTCGCTACGTGCTCTTGCGAATCAGCAGCAGCATCGCCCAGTCTGCTGTTCAGTGCATTGTTCGGTCGGACAACCATAAATGCAGGATCGGTGCTAGGTATAAAATAGGAAGGGAATCATAGAATCAAATAGTACACTCGGTATTGCAGCAATAAAATCATCGTTACGTGGAGCTGGAGGGATTGACGTTAGCAACTGCGAGGACAGATTGTAAAGACCAAAAACTCACGCGTCTCGGCAACTCGACCAGCGCGTCCCATGGGCCATGCAGCTCAAATCAAGCTCAGGATATCCTCTGGGTATCACCAATAACGTCCAAGGAGTATAAAACGCGTGTTGGGAAGCGGGAGGTACCCAGAAAAGAAGCTCATGTCTGGGTCCTATGATCCACCCATCAGGTTGCAGCAAGAAAGGGGTTGAATCAGAATCATGATCAGAGGCGGGTTCGAGCAAGTCAGCGGGGTTTGGCAGGGCGTGTTTCAGGCAGGACGAGAAGGAAATGGGGGGATGGTTACAAGTGTTGGTTGGCGTGATACGATTTTCTTGAGTGGGAGATGCGGTACTTCGATGCAGTGGAGATGTAAAGGGATCCAGCTCCGTTGACTCGAGTGATGGCAGCATTTTCATAAGCCGCACAGTGTTATCCAATGAACCAGACGCGATGCGAGTACCATCCGGTGAGAACGAGACTGAGTAAACCGCGCCAGTGTGCCCCTTCAAGGGCTCACCCAATGGCTCTCCCGTCGCTGCATTCCACAGCCGCACAGTGTTATCCCATGAACCAGACGCGATGCGAGTACCATCCGGTGAGAACGAGACTGAGTTAACCGCGCCAGTGTGCCCCTTCAAGGGCTCACCCAATGGCTCTCCCGTCGCTGCATTCCACAGCCGCACAGTGCCATCCTCCGAACCAGACGCGATGCGAGTACCATCCAGTGAGAACGAGACTGAGTTAACCGCTTCAGTGTGCCCCTTCAAGGGCTCACCCAATGGCTCTCCCGTCGCTGCATTCCACAGCCGCACAGTGTAATCCGATGAACCAGACGCGATGCGAGTACCATCCGGTGAGAACGAGACTGACCAAACCGCGCCAGTGTGCCCCTTCAAGGGCTCACCCAATGGCTCTCCCGTCGCTGCATTCCACAGCCGCACAGTGTTATCCCATGAACCAGACGCGATGCGAGTACCATCCGGTGAGAACGAGACTGAGTAAACCGCGCCAGTGTGCCCCTTCAAGGGCTCACCCAATGGCTCTCCCGTCGCTGCATTCCACAGCCGCACAGTGTAATCCGATGAACCAGACGCGATGCGAGTACCATCCGGTGAGAACGAGACTGACCAAACCGCGCCAGTGTGCCCCTTCAAGGGCTCACCCAATGGCTCTCCCGTCGCTGCATTCCACAGCCGCACAGTGTTATCCAATGAACCAGACGCGATGCGAGTACCATCCGGTGAGAACGAGACTGACATAACCGCGCCAGTGTGCCCCTTCAAGGGCTCACCCAATGGCTCTCCCGTCGCTGCATTCCACAGCCGCACAGTGTTATCCGATGAACCAGACGCGATGCGAGTACCATCCGGTGAGAACGAGACTGAGTTAACCGCGCCAGTGTGCCCCTTCAAGGGCTTACCCAATGGCTCTCCTGTCGCTGCATTCCACAGCCGCACAGTGTTATCCTCCGAACCAGACGCGATGCGAGTACCATCCGGTGAGAACGAGACTGAGTAAACCGCGCCAGTGTGCCCCTTCAAGGGCTCACCCAATGGCTCTCCCGTCGCTGCATTCCACAGCCGCACAGTGTAATCCGATGAACCAGACGCGATGCGAGTACCATCCGGTGAGAACGAGACTGAGTAAACCGCGCCAGTGTGCCCCTTCAAGGGCTCACCCAATGGCTCTCCCGTCGCTGCATTCCACAGCCGCACAGTGTTATCCAATGAACCAGACGCGATGCGAGTACCATCCGGTGAGAACGAGACTGAGTAAACCGCGCCAGTGTGCCCCTTCAAGGGCTCACCCAATGGCTCTCCCGTCGCTGCATTCCACAGCCGCACAGTGTAATCCGATGAACCAGACGCGATGCGAGTACCATCCGGTGAGAACGAGACTGACATAACCGCGCCAGTGTGCCCCTTCAAGGGCTCACCCAATGGCTCTCCCGTCGCTGCATTCCACAGCCGCACAGTGTTATCCGATGAACCAGACGCGATGCGAGTACCATCCGGTGAGAACGAGACTGACATAACCGCGCCAGTGTGCCCCTTCAAGGGCTTACCCAATGGCTCTCCTGTCGCTGCATTCCACAGCCGCACAGTGTTATCCGATGAACCAGACGCGATGCGAGTACCATCCGGTGAGAACGAGACTGACCAAACCGCGCCAGTGTGCCCCCTCATTATGGCCTCAACGACCGTCCACTTCAAATCCCGGCCGGATGCCAGACGAAGGCTATTCGGAAACCTAGCCGTAAATTTGGTAGCGATGGTACAGTTGACGGGAGAGAACGGGAGCGCTGATAAATACAGATGGGGTGTGCTGTGCAAAATCATCCCGCCAAACACTTGCATGAATCTTTGTACATCGATCGTGGCGGACCGCACATGTTCGTATCCAGAATGGCCCTGTATTTGTTTATGAGCTGTTCGTCTGACATTGCTTTGTAGGCATGTGCTCACCTGCAACCACTTGGCAACGAGTGGAAGCACAGCAACTGCACCACTGATTGCACTGAGAAGTCCGAGTGCTTCGATCCAGAACATCAGTCTCTCGTCGTCGAAGAGTGATCTTATTTCCCTTGCTAGCTCATCGTCAAAGTCCGTTTTCTGGATGTGCGTAGCCCAATATCGACAGGAATAGGAGAGATGTAGGGAAATGGATGTTTTCACTCGTTGAGGCAGCTCCGTGTCTTGGGAATTAGGGAGGTAAGATGACCTCAAACCACAGATGTTGAAGCGAAGGCCTTGTTCCATCGCTCGTAGCGACGCAAATGCAAGGTCGCGTTGTACCTTGGACACTTCGACGAAAAAGTCTCCGCTGGATGACTTGTCTGTCAGGAAGTCGTGGAAAGATGCGTGAAGGGGTCGGATGGGAGTACACGAATCGGTGGTGCCGCTGAGGAGGGATCCCATATGCTTGATGATGTCCATGTTGTCGTGCTTGCTTCGGTCTGGAAAGTATTTCCGCATGATATTGAGGGAATTGAAAGGGAGTGGTTCGGCTGTGCCGAGTATTTGTCCCATCACGGAGCGAAACCCTGCTAATGCTTCTTCGTACTGCTCGTCATCGTCATATCGATCCCTTCTCATAATTTCTTTCAAAATGACCAGATACATATCGTACAACAGGTTTTTCTTCTTTCCGGTACTGCGGTTCACGAGAGCATCGAAGCGATCCATTCGGCGTACACCTGGAGGGGGATTTTTGATGTATTCGCAGGCGAGACGCGCCCACTCAAAGAGTCCGTCGGATTTTGCAGCGAGCGTTGCAAGATGGTTGTCCTGAAATTTTGATAGATCTTTCAGCTCCCCAGATACGAAGGCGTGAATGTCGCGCTCCGCGACATCTAATGGAATAGCGTCCATGGACAACCGTAGGATATGATCAGCGCCTTCAAACCCCTCTTCGATATCATGGAGTGGGCGAGAGGTGATAAGGATCCGAAAGTTGGAAGGGAGTTCGGTGATTTGGGGAAGTCCTTTGTTCTGAAGTTTACCCGCAAGTATGCGGAGAAGGTCCTGCCGCGTCTCTGCTCCGCCGCTCTCGTCCAGCGCATCGATCACGATCAAGACAGGTCCTACGCTTGACCCAGGGAACTTCTTCAACGGTTCCATGAGAAGCTTGCGCCACTGCTGAATGATGTCCGTCGTATTCTTGAGCGAGGTCGCATTCTTGACCGCATTTGCCAGCGCTCGTTTCATCCCCGGATCACGATCAGCAAGATCGCGCGCGATGGTGGAGAAAATCTTTTCATGGCGACGGTCTGCTTCTCTGTGTCGATCGAAACAAAAACATGAACCGAGACCTCCCGTTTCCTCGAACCAGTTGGCGATCGTGTGCGCGATGGCTGATTTACCCTTGCCTGCAGGGCCAGATAGCCACATCACGCGTTTGGCAGCATCTCCACTGTCGTTGATCCAATCCGTAATCTGGGAAAGAATCTCCTTGCGCGTCCCTGGTAGGCACTGTTTCATGGTATTTAATCCCGCTCCCGCTGCATAAGTCATGCCGTTGAGATCGAGCGTTTCACCTTTAGGAGCATGAATGCATCTACAAGAACAAGTACGTATGAATCCTTACCCGCGAACTGGACAAAGATAGCCACGTCCTGATGTGCTTGATCCCGGAATTGCTGCATAAGGCCGTCCAAGGCGGCGTTGTACCGCATGATGATATCATCCGTTTCCTTGATGATGTTTTTACCGACCCTCTTCCCTATTATTATAGTAAGTATCAGATTCATGTGCGAGTACGATAGTCCGACGACTCACAGAAGCTCTTCGTCTCCGAGTATTCCCTGATGAAGCGGGCGCACTCGAGAGTCTGCTGAGCAATCTTTCCGATGACATCATGCATCGATTCAACCCTGGAAAGATTCTCGTCTCTGGTGATGAAGCCATAGACTTCATCTAATTTCTGGAGAAGACGATCCACCGACTTGTCGCGCTCCGCTTGAGCAAGAATAATCTGCAAGGAATCACGACTTCTGAGTGAGAGGCAGATCTCCGGGCAACATAGAACGTACTTTGGCTGCAGCAGAAAGCACGCCTAATGCCATCTTTGCATATGGATGCACCTATAACCTGATTAGTTCGCTACCAATTAAGGGGAGCATCCCATACATCTGCGATCTTCTCGATGACGCTGTCAAAAATTTTCAGGGGTTGGAGGTAATTGGTCTGGAAATCATCTGCAGCAGCGAGACCAGCTGAGGCATTCGCGGCGGCGGATGTCACAGACTTCGCGCGCGCCCCGAATGTTTTCACATGTTCTGAAGCCTCGTGGGCATCCTGAAGTTCAGCACCAGCTGATTTGGGACCAGGGGTTTCCTCGACGCGAGAGGAGATGTCGGGAACCTGCTCAACCAACAAAAATTAGAGACGAGAACCATATAATTCGATGCAAGTACCTTCGAAGCGGGTTCTCCGGATGTGCCTTGGCTGCTGGGATTTTCAGCTGTGGTGGGATGCTTGTCGTCCGTGAAAGGAAGCGTATGTGGCGTGTCCTGGGCGCCTCGGTTAAAAAAATTGAACTGGGATTACGAATTCGAGCACCTACTTCGATGTTCTGATTCAACGAAGTATCTTGAAGGTTCGCATTCTGTACCGCGGGAATGCGGCTGCGGGAAGCCTTGGAGAGTTTCTGCACACACAGCACAAACGCGAAAAATATGAACCTGCTACAATTTCGTAGATTCTCAGATTCCCGTACAATTTCTTGACATTTTCCCACTCAAAAAATACCAGTCTGTAAAATCTTGGAGAATCTCAAAATCATCCGCCATTTCCTGGCTGGTAAATCCTAGCACAATCACATTGTAACGCACATGACTATACACACGCGCGCGCGCTCAATTTGACTAAGTCCCAACTCCTATATATCCACTGCCATCATCTTTCGAGCTCTGCACCCATGTCAGCGCAAGAACGTCGGCACAGGTGCACCTGCGCACGTTGCTCACAACATCCGGATGGATTCGCATACCAGACAAGACAAGTCATCTCGAAACATGTCAAGAAATGGCCCTCGGTCCCTCTGCAAATGTTGGATGTAAACGCTAACACCAACTTGAATGCGAGTGCGAGTACCAACCATCGAGAGAGATTGGAGATACAACCAGCCCCACTCCGAGTCAGAGATAACGAGCCTGAGTATGACTTCAATTTCCAGGACGACCAACCTGCAGGAGAGCAAGATCATTACCCTGTCGAACGTCGAGCACCCAACCACCAACCCCTCCAAGACTATAATTTCCGTCCAGTTCCATGGCCTGATGTACGAATTCCTGGCAGTGACCAGGATCAGGAGGACCGGCCATCTCTTGTTCCGAGAGCCTTCAATGAGCGGCCAGGTGTCCGTCTTGCATATCTTAACACGGTGATAGGCAACGTCTTTGGGAAACAGAGCATCCAAGCTGCAACAGATGCCCTCAATAATCAGCTCAATTGTATGCTTCTCGAAGGTGTATTACCCGAACATCCGCGACCTGTCCGTCATCTCCTGAGTGCGAAACGTCGACTTGGCATCGATCCTGACCAATGGATCACCCAGTATGCCATATGCCCCGAGTGCTGGAAGCATCTCACCCCCAATCAACTCAAAGAGCTTGCATCCCCCGAGTGTACTGTTCTGGACTGCCCAGGAATATTATACGATGAATGTACAGATGCAAAAGGCAAGCGTATCCGAATTACGAGAAAAATCATGCCGCACGTATCCCTGATAGGAAGCCTTCGACGGATGTTCATGCGACCTGGTTTTGCAAAATCAATTCGAGACAGCCGACAAGACCAGCCACGACGAAATGATGATGATGACTATGTCATGATGGACATTCATGATGGCACACTATGGCATGAACTCGAGACGAACACTGTCCGCGAGACTGGTGAATTGGGTACTGTCCGCGACCGTCCTCAAGATAATGGACCGACAGCGACGAAGCTTACTGAACATCGATATGGCCTGCATTTGACCTTGAATATTGACTGGTGAGGTCTTATTGCACGTCCTGAGCACTTATTTAGATGTTATGTAGGATGGGTATACTGGAAAACCGGCCCCACTCTAGCGGTCCCATCTATTATGCCATAAACGACCTTCCACGAGATCAGCGATTCCTGCAGGTCAACGTCATATGTGCTGCGATTATGCCAGGTCCAAAGGAGCCAAACATACAGCAAATCAATCATTGCTTGGAGCCCTCCACTCGTGAGCTGATGGACCTCAAGAATGGTATGCAGTATTCATAACTCGTCGTTGATGGTCGTGCACTCACTTGTATTGTGTTATTATACCCAGGTGTAAAAATGAACGTTTATGGAGAAGAAGAAGAAGTAGATGTGTTTGCGGATAACGAGGTCCTTGCCTGTGATATGCCGGCTTCACACAAGTGCAACGGAACAGCTGGCCACAGTCATGACTTCCATCCGTGCGCGTTTTGCGATGCTGATGTTGTCAAGATTAACACGCCGGATGGTTACAATGACAGTAAGTGAACACTAGCTGTATTTTTCATGTGAATGATACATGGTGGATAGCATGGTCTGCAAAGGACGATTTTCATATGCTCCGTCAGAGTTTCTACTCCAGGGATGCAGGTCCCGCTCGCCGAGAAGCAATCTTGAGGGATCATGGTGTTAGATGGTCCATTCTCAACCTACTCTCTGGCTGGTTACCATCGAAGAAGTCAGTGCTCGACTTCATGCACTGTATCTTCCTTGGTAAGTGTTTGCTTTTTGCGAGCACTAGCACTGATGACCTGTTGAAGGCATCATATCACATCTATTCATGCGTGTACTGTTTGGTGGATACATGCTATCAGGAATGGGTGGTAACGAGTCACCAAAACGCCGTTTCGAAGACATTGTGAATGCTGTTAGATGGCCCAGTCACGTCACTCGATTGCCAAAAAATGTATTGTTGCCCACTGAGATTGTTGATTTATACTTATTCTTGGTTAGCTAGGTGAAAATCAATCACTCAAGAAGGCAGATGAGTGGCGTCGTATTCTAACAATCACTCCGGTCATTCTCTGGTGGTCTTGGAGGGATGCTAATGACGAGATACCGAACACAGAGCCTCCTCTTCCACCCAACACTGTTGCCCCGGATTTCTCACGTAACCGTCGCTCGCTGTATCATGCCATACTTCATCTTTGCATGGGAGTCCGCATTCTCGCATCCCGCTCCATCTCAATGGCTCAGGCTCGCACCGGTCAGAGCTTCTTAGCCCACTACTGTTTAGAATGTCTGCAGCTTCGCATTCCACTTACCATCAATCACCAAGCTTCGATGCATACAGCTGAAATGATCAAGAAATGTGGTCCTGTATATGCCTGGTGGCTCTTTGCATTCGAGCGGTTCAACGGCATGTTGGAACGTGTTCACCATAATGGTCACGATGGAGGGCGAATTGAACTCACTCTCTTACGGAACTGGGTCCAAACTCATCTCATTTACGAATACCTCCTGGCTCTTCCTGCTGACACTCATTCATTCGAACGAGACCAAATTAACCGCATTATCAAGGTACAAGCCCAAGACCGCGGAAGTATGATGACACAGATAGCAGTTTATCAGAGCGAAGCTGCTGAAGGTATGTGCCCATCATTTGTATGATTTGACATTCACATTCCATCAGACAATGTCAGGTTACCACTCCGTAATGCGAAATTGATCAATCTTCGTGCATATGGTTCACCTCCAGGAACATTCTATCTCATTCTTCTCCAGTACTTTCACTCTCTGTGGCCCGACCTTAATCTTGTTAGTGACTTATCCTGTGATGATGGCACCCCCTTCCGTGCAAACAAGGTAGCTCGTGCACTCACCTACATTCGTAAAGATGGGATTCGCTATGGCTGTACCATGAATCGACGCACGCAGGCCGACTCCTTTGCATTTATATCTCAAGGTAGAGTCCGTGTCCCTGTACAAATAACAGCACTATTTGTCGTTGGGGTCCTCGACACCATTCCTCACGTTTGTGCCGTTGTACGAAGATTAGTATCTGATGATGACATTCCTGCAATGCCATGGGACCTCTAGTAAGTCTTCCTGTTATGAGATACAAATATTCATCTGTCTTCAGCGCATCAACACTCGGTATCCATGTCTCCTACACTGAACTCGGCCCTCAAGAAGTTATTCCGGTCTCACGGATTGAGTGCCCACTGGCATTGATTCCAGTGTACTCGAACATCATCAAAAAGGATCTGTGGATTACCATCTCGTTTGACCATGTAAGTTACAAACTATGATAGCTCTAGTAGGATAACGGTCTCAAAAAATCTGCAGGCAGGAAACGAGCCTGAAGACTATTTAGAAGACGAAGATGGAGAGTAGATACCAACTTGGTACGCACTTTTCTGCACATCTAGTAGTCACTGAACTCATCATCTGACTCCGCAGCTGGAGGCAGCTCACGAGCTGTGCTAGTACTCGCTACTGGCTGTGCTGGAGCAGGCATGATACTCTCTCGGATCTTTGATTTGCCTTTACCTTTCTTTGTCCCATTTTCCTTCTTCTTCGCCTCCATCTCCTCAATTTTCACGCGCTTCTTTGACGCAATCAGCCTCTTCTGTTCCTTGACTCGCTTCTGGCCTGCCACCATCTCCTCAGGATCTTTTGGATCTCCCCATGCACGTCCATTGTCCAGGATATAACTAGGTGAGTCGTACTTCTTGTTTTCTTCTTTTGCGAGCCACTCTGCTGATACCATCCATCGGCGCGCTCGATTTTCGATTTTCTTGGCAGCTAAGATAGGAAGCTCTTTTGGATCGCCTTTCACACGAGCAGTGAAGCGAGGAGGTGGTTGTGGATCCACAGCCTCGTCAACAGCAGCCAAGAACCTCGACATCTACAGTTTTCATCAGTGAGTGTTAGTTTCGGTAGTTGTTGTGATACTCACAACACCACTTCGATATGTTCCAGCATGCGATATAAAGCGTCCTGTCTTTTGCCCCTGCTCATTCACTTCATCCTCATCCTGCGACATCAAGGACTCTGTGAGCGCTGCTCGATACTTCTCGTCCCTGAACTCTGACTCCTTTGGCAGATTCTCATATTTTCGGATACGCACTTCAAGTTTCTAAGGTACCCAGGTGAGTTTTAGTTTTATTAACATTTGACAGTCTAAATGACTTACACCTCTGGCACGACTTTGTAGTTTTGATCGTGAAATCACTGTTACGATGACAGCCTCAGCCTCGGGCCCAGGAGGAGCACTTTCAACTGTGTCTGAGGCAGCTGTGAGGGGCGCCATCAAGTTTCTGGACAACTTGCCAGCCTTCCGCAAATTCTTCTGGAGGTCCTGATATTTCTTAACGACACGCGCACGCAAGTCCTCATCGCTGATATCACGAAGAGCAGGACCGCTGCCAGCGCAAACGGTAGCACCATGTTGGCGCATGTAAGCAATAATGCGCAGGACATTGGCATGATTATCAGTATGCTGATGAGATTCAGCCCAGCGAAACCGCATCAAGCGCTCCTTTGTGGCAGGATCGAGTGGCCAATTGTCATCATCACTTGGATATGGGGGGAGAACATTGATGGTAAGCTTTGCAATTCCCATTAACATCTGAAACACAGTCCGAACAACGGCCTGGATGATGGCTGATTACTATGGCACCCCTTGTAGATTCAGTGATCCGCTCACCTTTAGACCATTGTCTCCAAATGCAATGGCACTCTTTTCAAGCTTCTCGACATCTTTCTCAAACTCTTCGTCGGTCTCTGCTTCAGCCATGTCTCCCACATCATCACGACTCTTACTCGCAAGCAAGCTGGCCAGTTTTGCCTCGAACTTTTCCTCCATATCCTTGATCTGAGCCTTCAGCTCCGTCTTTGCGGCCTCAATCTGCTGAACACATCTAGTCTCCACTGCACGTAGTTCATTTGCATGTCGTAGCTCCAAGTCCTCTGCATGGGCCAGCCGGCGGTTGAAACTGGTCATCTCACTCAAAACCTGAGAGATTTTCATCGACTTTGGTGGACCGCTAGTGTTCTGTGCTGAGCTGGTGCTTGTTCCGACACCCCCTGGAGCTGTATTAAGTCGGGGATCTATGATGGGAACAACTGACGCTGGCCGCTGGAACTCATGCGAAGACGGCCCTGGTGTCAGCGCTGGGACAGACATTGGACGACCATCCGGCATTCCTGTAGGGCCACCTGGGTACATGGCTCTTTCCGTTTCATGTGCACCAACCATTCCACCATACGCATGGCCTGTTGGTGTGCTGAGATGGCCATACAGGGGAGGGGGAGGGGGAGGGGGAGGATTGAAGTTGAAGTTATACTCAGGGTTCGACATTGGACGTTGTGGTGGGGAGTTAGACGCGTCGTTCCACTCAATCAGCTCGTCACCCTTATGTGCTATAGGTCTAGCATCATTCTTCCTTATAATTGAGCCTGCTGCACACAAATTCGAGTTGCTCTGTGATTTAAACCTATTGTCGAAGCGTGATTGTTGCGCAGTTTCTATGAATGGAAATATTGCGTGAATTCTGGGGAAATTGTAAGGTAAAAATGTGTTACATTGCGGGCAAAGTGTGTAATAGTTGGCAAATGGCTCGATGAGAGAATGTACCACGAAACTTCGTGATAATGTGGTGTATTTTTACACTTCACCCACATTTTAACCGCATCGTAATTCGTGCGTTTGTGCTGTGACAATGTCAGTCACATTCAGAATCAGGAAACCTGGCAATCTACCTACAGAAAGTTTCTTGGCGCCTTTCGCAAATTTCCGAAAAGTCTGCTCAACTCGACTGCGGGGTCGGCTCTGGGCGAAGAAAGCGTCAGAAGCACCCATGAGCGCTCATCCACAGTAAGCCCTTGAGACTACATACCGAGCTTTCACGAACGGTTGCCTCGCAGGCTTCTGGAGGAGGATCTGGCCTATGGTCTCTATTCATCACGAGTAGGCGATTACTGTAAGCGAAGTGAGGGTGCAAGAAGTAGGTGGGAGAAAAGAGAGAACCTCTGGCATGAGCTGAATACCCTTGACCAAACTTAAAGCATGGCCAACACGTTGACCGGCTTCTTGAGGCGCCAATCATGATTGATCGGCCATAGCCCATTGCCGAAGGGAGCACCATAGATCTACATAATCATTCAGCACACTTACTGGTGCACTGGGGAAGCGAGAGAAATGGTTGGTTGTTGTGGGAAATAGTTTGAAGGTCGTGACTGAGTTCATTGGGGAATGCGTTGGCAAAGAGTTTGGAGAGGGAGATGCAAGACTTTCGATAGGCTTTTCATGAAGGGACGTTAAGGTTTTGTAGGCATTGAGCAACAAAAGGGTAGTGAATTCAATCAGGATCTACAAAAGTAGATAGGTTTACAAGCGAGCAGCAACTAGGCATACAAGTGGAATTCAAGGTGCACGCGGGTGTCATCGAATGGTTGTTGAAGTGGTGGAAATGACATCAAAGCAGGGACAACGAGAGTAAGATGAAGCAGCGGTAGCAATGAGATATATACAAAGGCAGAGAGAAGTGAAATCTGAAGGAATGCAGTAGAGATAGACCATCCAGTAGCTAGTACGTAGTACGTACTATCATGATGTTGTGACGAAGTTGAAATTTGAAAGTCTGTAGCTTAGTAAGCCTCACCACGTTTCTGGGATGTAACGCCGGCGGTTCCTTTCTATCAGCTGCGGCACTGATACGGGATGCACAGCAAGTTGGACGTATGGTTACCGGCTGTCCCCTATATTATAAGACGTGAATGTTCATTATTATAATGATTCTGATCTGAACTCTACGCATGAATTCTACTCGTCCTCCCGTGCTAGTCGTAAGTGAACCGCATATCATGGATGGTTGCCCCTCAGCTTAGTTCCTCTTTCTTAGGTAGGCGCTGGGCCAGCAGGTCTGGTAGCAGCGTTAACCCTCCTCCAGAACGGCATACCAGTTCGTATCATTGACAAAGATCCCAACCCTCGAATCGGACAGCGTGGTCCTGGAATCTGGGTGTGTCATGAAACCACTTCTCTAATTTCCTAGTCTCATTTGATGCATGATCTAGCCACGCTCCTTCGAACTCTTCAACTTTCTGAATGTTCCAGAAGTCAACGAGTTGGCGAAACCCGTTTCCACACACCGTTCCTACAAGCCCGGGACAATGGAAGTCGCGATAGAATCGTTGATGATACCCCATGCGGAACCTACCCCTGCGATACCATTCGTACGTATCATGCAGAACCTTCCGGCATCGCCTCTCAAGCAGCTATGCTGATGAATCACGATTTTTTTGTACTTTAGCACACTCCAAAGCTAATAGGTCAACAACTCTTAGATGTGATTCTGCGACGTCACCTAGAGAATTTCTCGTGCTCTATCGAGATGGGCACCGAACTGCGTTCGTTTGAGCAGTCCGATGAAGGTGTCACGGCTGTTCTAGCAAAGAACGGCATATTGGAGATTTTCGATACCAAGTGGATTGTTGGCGCTGATGGTGCTAAAGGTGAGTTGCGATCAAATCCAAATGCTGGAGGATAAGTCTGAGTACTGAGTTATGGTTTGCAGGCATAGTGCGCAAACAGCTTGGGCTTACATTCTTAGGCGAGACTAGAGACGATATCCGAATGGTCATGGGAGATATTCGTTTACATGGCGTTGGTCTTGACAGAGTGGTGCGTCCAATTTCTACTTGCTCCATGAAGGAGTGCTCCTTATATTGTCTTGAAAGTATTGGCACCGGTTTGGGACCTTTAAGCGAGGGTATGTCCAGTCTCTGCTCTTAAAGGTTGCGGATGTGTATATTGACGCTGCACAGCGTCTCATTGCGTCCAACAGACGAAATTGGCGAGGATGGCTGGCAATTTGTCATCATGGACAATGATCTAGACACGACAAGGGTCGCTCAGAGCGAGGAGCTGATCTTCGAGACTATCACATCAGTGATACCTACTGAGATTACGTTCAACAAGCTCGTCTGGGTGAGCGAGTTCAGGTGTGTTTTATCGTGTTGCACAGATGCGTTTTAAATGTTCATTTTTTTTTACTTTAGGGCCAACATCCGCATGGTAAACAAGTTCAGCAAGGGCCGAGTTTTTGTTGCGGGGGGTATGTGGTTCTATCTTTGAATGATGTACTTGTGCTGATGGAAGTCTACGTAGATGCTGCTCAGTATGTCTATCTTTGAGCGCTTTCTTGCCAAACTGATTCTGGCACGTTTCAGCGTCCACAGTCCAACCGGTGGTCAGGTGTGTGCCTTCTGATCGAATTCCAATGCCTACTCATACATCTATGAATAGGGACTCAATTCAAGTATACAAGATGCTGTAAGTCTTGCAATTGCAGTACGTATTATGACACCACTGACCGTATACCAGTTCAATCTAGGTTGGAAACTTGCGCTCGTCGAGAAAGGCCTCGCCGACAAGTCTCTTCTTGAGACGTATAATGCCGAGCGTCTGCCTGTGATCTCCGAGATGCTTGAGATGACCACCACGATTCTGAACCGTGTAGTACAGACGGGCAGCATGACCGCAGTACGAAGCCCTATCCTTTTCATGCTTGGGATCAATTACCGATTCAGCGACATCGTTCTCGACGAGTTTGCAATTCCAGGGAAGCCTATCAATGCGTACGGGGAGCTTGACGAGGAACATTTAGAGGCTGGAGACCGGGCACCTGATGCACCAAATCTGGTCCAGGTGGGAGGTGGAAAATCCGACGTGAAGACACTTTTTAGTCTCTACAGACCCTGGTATCACACCGTACTTGTGTTCGCACCGAGCCATGCAGATGCTGCCCCGATTTTGGGTGCGCTGGAGGCATATGACACAAGCGTTGTGCGATCGGCAGTCGTTCTGCCTTCATCCGCATCAGGGACGTCTGTTGCATCCCCTGCTGATCTCGTTTTTGTTGATCAGGAGGGCTATGCTCATTCGGCTTACCTCGTGGAAGTTGGCCAGACGAGGGTGTTTGTGATACGACCGGACGGAGTGATCGGGGCGATCGTACATGGTACAGAAGGCGTGAAGAAGTATTTCTCCGGAATATTTTTGGATGTTTAGTGGTCTGTTTTTTTGGCTTATAAGTTATATTCTTACATCTCAATTTATTTGTATCTTACAACCAATGTAGTTATTAAGTAGCGTAGAGGTCAAGGCGTTACTTGTTGGGGAGCACTTCAAATCTGGACCAACGTAGTCGAATCCTTTTCACTACTGATTAGTAACATCGATGACCGTGTTACCCACTAGTTCTATAGTGTAGGATTCCAATGAGGATGGGTTTAAGAAGGGATTAACGAACGAGAAAAGTCGAACCAGTTGAACCTGGAGTTGCGAAGCTAGAACCTGATGTGAACCATGAGCATACCACTAGAAGCAGGGTTGTGAACGCTGTTAGGAAAGGTGATCGCATAAGTCTTGGATAAAACATAGATATGAAAGCGAAAACTCCGTTGTCGCAGAAATAGTCAAGAGCTTGAGACCGGATAAGAGAGAATTTTGGCTCCATCCGGCGCACACAAATCTTGGGAGTCGGTGGGGCGAACAGGTGATATATGTGCCTGCGCTCAAGTAGGTTATATGACGATGGGCTGGAGTGGCTGCTAAACACAAGACAGCACAATGCTCACTAGGCCATCCAGGATAAATAGTATTCGAAGGCCTGGATAGAGCAACTGCACTATCGCAATCAAATGCGAAGGATACATTCTAGAAATTGTGGAGAGTCGGACGCATGTACGCAGTGCAGAAGCAGTGGGAGGGTGTACGACCGAGGAAGGCGGTTATGACAACAAGGACATCCTTGCTGCAACGGTGATGGCAAAATGTCTCGTGCCTACGATACTCGCACCTCTGCACCTTAGGAAAAGATACTCACGATTCCTCCTCGACCGTGCCTATAAGATGTCACAGCACATGTCCAACGCCCTTCAAGTTTTTGAAGATCATCAAGAGCCCGTAAACGCAGTCGCAGTGCTCCCTGATAAGCGACGAATGGTTACGGGGCTCATTGTGCAGGGTGACCATGTAGTATTAGGTTTTGACGAACTTCTATTACATAATTGGCCGGCCGGCTCCGACATGCGTTCTCACACAACATGTTGTCTGTTAGGATGGACGGCCATATCCAGGCAGTGCGCCTTCGCAATAGTGGAGTGCCCTGCTCTTCTTTAGGGGCCTTGCGGCCTTCTTATTTCGGTTGCTTTAATCAATATCTCGCTCTTACAACGTGCCTCTGCTGTACAACCCTAACGCCCACTGTTGAAATGAGGCTATGGGTGGCTCGATATCCTGCGAGTTGCTTCTGTTCTGTCGAATTTGCACGTTCAAGTAGATGGACCATGTGCATGCTGTGGCTCCCTCTTTTATAATCCATTAGGACTCTACAGGTACTGCAGTATTTTGTAACCTCCAGTACACACATCTCACTCAAGTGTTAATTTGAATTCATCCCTCAGCCATCATTATGGCCCATCGCCGGCGTGTTAGCTTCGAGTCTTCAAGCTCATCAGAATCAGACTCTGATTCAGACTTTTCTTCAGCATCATCGCGTAAAACTTCCCCGACTTCTCCGGTAGAGGAATATACTCTCAGTACCGAGCCCTTCAAAAAAGAAAAACGTGAGCGTAAGTCGTCAGGCAATCATGACGACAACAAGACAAAGGTATCAAAAGGTGCACAATCGTAGGTCATTGTGTTGTATAGCGCAGGTATGGGCTCAATCTTGCATGTTTTAGACAAAAACAAGACAAGTGTGTATATGAAGCACTGGTGATCTAAATGCCTGACAAGTGCGTATTGTTCAGTGAGGAGCCAAGCTACCCAGGACACACCCAGGGCGCAGGAGAGATACACCTCGGTGGAGTGCAACAAGTCGTCATTACTTGTATGTGTTATCTGTCTCCGCTCAGCTCGTATTGACGATTTCCCTCAAGCTATTCGCGCAACTGATCTCGCTCTTGGTCTTCGACGAATCCCCGCTGGCTTTCATGCGGTGGTCAAGGCTGACGGTGCTGAATACCAGACAAGCAATACATCTATACACGTAGACCAGGTTGTCGTCGAATGGCACGAGCGCATTCTTCTGTAAGTGGTCCTTAACCCCGTCTGTCTTGCAGGTGTTGAAAAAGACTCGAGGCCGTGCGATCCATCTTCTAAAGTTCGGGTCAGCGTGTATGCCTCATTTGAATTAGGTCCTATGCTCTGTCACGGAGAACTCCTCCGCACATTCGAGATCTCCGTCGGAGAATTACTGGATCGCAGCGAAAGGTCGCATCGTCAGTATTGTCTATGTCTATTGCACATAACGCCTCATGGATGCTAACAAGTATTATAGCCATAATCTTTCAGTCAAGGCAGGAGGACGTCGTATCCGCTTGTACTTCACTGTTCATGACGGTGGGGCAAGGACTTTCTGATCAAAACGACGGCGGAGTTCTTCGTTCCCTTACTATCGTGAGTGATCAATGCAGTCTGGCATTCTGATGCTGATTGCTGTAACGTGTAGCTTACATCTCACGATATGGATGCGTTAGCACTGAGTACAGATGCCGGTCATCGTCTTCTCGCACGATATCGCAGGACGCAGAACAGTACGGATCTGGACCAATCCGTAAATCACTTCGAACGGGCCTTGGATCTCTGTCCCGCGGATCACTCCTACCGCCCTGCGGCACTGTTTAATCTAGCCACCGCAAAGTTTATTAATTGCCAAGCTAACGCTTATCTCGACTTCGACATACCCATCTCTCTTTTTCAAGACGCACTTGATTTGCGTCCTACTGGTCATCCAGACCGACCCACCACCCAACTCCATCTTGCCATTTCTCTACTCTCTCGCTTTGTGAAACAGGGATTTCCAACAGATGCTCATACGGCTGAAGAGTTACTGAGCGAGGTACTTAATGTCTGCCACGCCAACAGCCATCTCTGCAGGGTAGCTGTGATGGTAATCGAAACATCCGCTCTGCGTGGATGCACGGATGCAAATGATCTTCAGCGGGAGCAGCCTGCCCCATCCATGCTTCCGTTATCGCCGAATCAACTTGTTCATCGAGCAGAGTGGTGTTTGCAGAGAGATGAACCGTGTGCCTTAGATGAAGTGATATCCCTTCATTATGATGCGCTGGGATACTACAACACCGGACATACTGACCGAGGTCAATTGCTAGTCAATCTGGCTTTAATGTTGCAAACTCGCTTCGAGCGTCGAGGCAATGACAAAGATTTGGATCAGGCCATTGCACTTCAGATAGAAGCGCTGGCCTTGCGCCCGGTCGGCCACACAGATCGGTCCGGGTCATTAAGTAATCTCGCCACTCAGCTCTCTTTCCGCTTCCACCACCGAGGCAATGATGAAGATTTGGATCAGGCTATCGCACTTCAGACGGAAGCGCTGGCCTTGCGCCCAGTCGGCCACACATGTCGGTTTGAGTCATTAAGTAATCTCGCCACTCAGCTCTCCTTCTGCTTCCACCACCGAGGTAATGACGAAGACTTGGATCAGGCTATCGCACTTCAGACGGAAGCGCTGGCCTTGTGCCCGGTCGGTCACACAGGTCGGTCCAAGTTATTAAATAACCTCGCGAATAAACTATCCTCCTGCTTTGACCACCGAGGCAACGACGAAGACTTGGATCAGGCTATCGCACTTCACAAGGAAGCACTGACCTTGCGCTCGGTCGGTCACATAGATTGGTCCAAGTCATTAAATAACCTCGCCAATCAACTCTCCTCCCGCTTTGACCACCGAGGTAACAACGAAGATTTGGATCAGTCTATCGCACTTTACAGGGATGCTCTGGCCTTGTGCCCAGTCGGTCATACAGATCGGTCCATGTCATTAAATAACCTTGCGACTCAACTCTCCTCTCGCTTCGACCACCGAGGCAACGGCAAAGACTTGGATCAGGCTATCGCACTTCAGACGGAAGCACTGGCCTTACGCCCGGTCGGCCACACAGGTCGGTCCATGTCATTAAATAACCTCGCGCTTCGACTCTCCTCCCGCTTTGACCACCGAGGCAACGACGAAGACTTAGATCAAGCCATCGCACTTTACAAGGAAGCGCTGGCCTTGTGCCCGGTCGGTCACACAGATCGGTCCGCGTCATTATGTAACCTCGCGACTCAACTCTCCTCCCGCTTCGACCACCGAGGCAACGGCGAAGACTTAGATCGGGCTATCGCACTTCACAGGGAAGCGCTGGCCTTGCGCCCGGTCGGTCACACAGATCGGTCCGCGTCATTATGTAACCTCGCGACTCAACTCTCCTCCCGCTTCGACCACCGAGGCAACAGCGAAGACTTAGATCGGGCTATCGCACTTCACAGGGAAGCGCTGGCCTTGCGCCCGGTCGGTCACACAGATCGGTCCATGTCATTAAATAACCTCGCGAATCAACTCTCCTCCCGCTTTAACCACCGAGGCAACGACGAAGACTTGGATCAGGCTATCACACTTCACAGGGAAGCGCTGGCCTTGCGCCCAGTTGGTCACACAAATCGGTCCATGTCATTAAATAACCTCGCGAATCAGCTCTCCTTCCGCTTCCACCACCGAGGCAACAATGAAGACTTAGATCAGGCTATCGCACTTTACAGGGACGCACTGGTCTTGCGCCCGGTCGGTCACACAGATCGGTCCATGTCGTTAAATAACCTCGCGCTTCGACTCTCCTCCCGCTTTGAGCACCGAGGCAATGACGAAGACTTGGATCAGGCTATCGCACTTCAGACGGAAGCGCTGGCCTTGTGCCCGGTCGGTCACACAGGTCGGTTCAAGTCATTAAGTAACCTCGCGACTCAACTCTCCTCCCGCTTTGATCACCGAGGCAATGATGAAGACTTGGATCAGGCTATCGCACTTTACAGGGACGCGCTGGCCTTGTGCCCGGTTGGTCACACAGATCGGTCCATGTTATTAAATAACCTTGCGAATCAACTCTCCTCCCGCTTTGAGCATCGAGGCAACGACGAAGACTTGGATCGGGCTATCGCACTTCACAGGGAAGCGCTGGCATTGCGTCCAGTCGGTCACACAGATCGGTCCATGTCATTAGATAACCTCGCGTCTCAACTCTCTTCCCGCTTTGAGCACCGAGGCGACGATGAAGATTTGGATCAGGCTATCCCACTTTACAGGGAAGCGCTGGCCTTGCGCCCGGTCGGTCACACAGGTCGGTCCGTGTCCTTAAATAACCTCACGCTTCGGCTCTCCTCCCGCTTTGATCACCGAGGCAACGACGAAGATTTGAATCAGGCTGTTGCGCTTCAGAGGGAAGCATTGGCCTTATGTCCTCTTAGTCACACAGATCGGTCCAGGTCATTGCATAACCTCGCAACCCAACTCTTCACCCGCTTTCACCACCAACACAATAGAGAAGACCTCGACGAGTCACGAGAGAGCCTACGCTGTGCATTGACTCTGTTGACACAACATGATCCTGGTCAATTACTATCCCATCAGTCGCTAGCTGAGGTCTATCTGTCGTTCCATCGTTCAGGCCTTGACGACACCGGCGCAGGTGAAGATACCGATAGTCTGGATGCTGCCATGCATCATCTCAAGGCAGCAGCAAACGTTGTCTCTGGAGGCTTGCTATCCCGCCTGCGAGCAAGTCTACTTTGGGTTCGTCGTGCTGATCAACACAGGCATGGTACTCAACTGAAGGCTTATGCGACTTCCATGCAACTTCTGGATGCTTACATGTCTAAGACGGCTTCTGTATCGTCTCGTCACAATATCATGAAGGACTTCCCAAGTACACTTGCCGTTGATGCTGCGTTGTGTGCTCTTGGTAGTGGCGATGTGTGTCGCGCTGTTGAATTGTTGGAACAAGGCAGGACCATCATCTGGACCCAGATGACACGACTCCGTACCCCTCTTGAGAGCCTCCATACTCACGGCGACCATGCAGTAGCCCTAATGAAGAGGTTCAGAGACCTCAGCACCCTCCTCGATAAACCTCCTGCGAACTATTCAGAAGGGACTCCAATAGTCAATGTGGAAGCAGAAGAAACTCGGTATAGACGTCTAGTAGAGGACTGGAATAGAGTTGTAGAAGAGATCCGGAAGATTGAGGGTTTCTCTCGCTTCCTCCTTCCCCCATTATTCTCTGAGCTTCAAGATGCAGCTCGTGATGGGCCTATCATCGTGCTTATCGCAAGCCAGTTGTCCTGCCACGCCATCATCATCCCGCACAAGCAACCCCCAGCTAACATTCAACTCCCTACCGATTTGCTGAAACTCGCCAAATTGGTGCTCGCACTCCAGCAGGCAGTTCGAAAAGAGGCCGATGCTAATGGGAAGCAAACAGCGCTGACAAAAGCTTTGAGAGAGTTGTGGGATGTCGTCGTCTGTCCAGTGGTCGAGAATCTGGATGTATTTGCACGACGAGGTTCCCGAATATGGTGGTGCCCGACGTCTCTATTCAATTTCTTGCTGTTGCATGCTGCTGGCGAGTATAGGGCAAAGGGAAAGTCCGTCTCGCAGCGGTATATCTCTTCATACACGCCCTCGCTCACCGCGCTGATCAAGGCTCGCGGAAGTCATAATAAGTCCCCGTCGGTGCCCTTCGTTGCTATCGGTCAGGATTGCCCAGCTGGTGCTTTATTCACTTTGGATGCTGTCGAGCCTGAGCTGGAATTGGTGCGAAGACTTTTGCCCCCTCCCCCAACTGTTTCTTTCTCCAAGATAACCAGTACTGATGCCACGAAATCGAGAGCACTGCGCGCATTGCGAGATAATACTTGGCTCCATCTCGCGTGTCATGGGACACAGCAAATTGACGAACCCTTCAAGTCGGCCTTTCTCATGCGCGACCAGCGGCTTTTGCTCCTCGATATCACAAAGATGGATCTGTCCCGGCATGAATTTGCATTTCTTTCTGCCTGTGAAACCGCGGTCGGTGTCGTTAGTACGCCCGATGAAGTGATACACCTAGCAGCCGGCCTGCAATTTGCTGGGGTCAACAGCGTCGTGGGGACATTGTGGAAGGTCACTGATAGTACCGTGCAACGCTTAGTAGAAGCATTCTACAAAAACTTTTGTGGGGATGGCCCAATGAACTCCAAACGAGCTGCCTGGGCCCTGCACCGAGCGGTCCAGTCGTTGGCTTGCGACACGGACAATACAATGCCTTTGGACCAGCGCATAGTGTTCGTGCATATTGGCATATGATCAATTCTGTGCGTCTTCCCACCTTGTTGATTAAAGCATTCTTGAGACAACCTGTTGTAGGACGTTGGACTGAAAGGACAAGTCTCAGCGTGTTGAGTAGAAACGCTATAACATTCATAATACCTGAAAGGACAAGTCTATAGTACGAACACAATGAGAAAGGGACAAAACGTAGAGACGGCGTGATACGTACCTCAGCGTGTTGAGTAGAAACGCTGAGGTGTAAACTAAGAGGGAAGGCGAGATTATAAACTATGTTACAGAGTCCGGGATGCCATAGTACGAGAAAGGAAATGATGACGAAGTAGAGAAGCGATGACGAAGTAGATTCCAACACACCCCCTCAACGAGGCATTCAACGTGAAACGAGCGCCAGCCCCGAACGATGCAAGACAAAGGCCGGACGCGGAAGAGCTTTTGTGAATATGTCGGCTGTATTTTGGTGAGTTGAAAGCCATATTGGCGTTATTATACCCTCCTCAATATGTCGTCTGATAAAGTGGTACCGAAGATCGATATGCTTCGTTCGGATGTGATTTGCGGCTTCTTTCGACAGAGCTATCGCGCCAGCATTATCTGCGAAGAGTTGTAGGGGCAAGGGCAGAGGGAAGTTAAGACATTGGAACAGAGATTTGAGCCATAGCCCGTCCTGCACTGCTGCGGTGAGCGCCATGTACTCTGCTTCAGTCGATGACAACGCTTGCGTCGTTTGCTTCTTGGCCGAGTGCGACACAGGACCACCGTTTAGGAACCACACATATCCGGAAATCGACACACGATCTTCCGGACAGGAGGCCCAATCGGAATCCGAGAAGCCACGAAGGGCAGCGTTGTTTCCAGCTCCCCCATAGTGCACGCGCAAGGTCACTGTGCCTGCAAGATAACGCAGGATGTGTTTGGCGGCTGCGTAGTGCCTAGGCTCGGGTTTCGAGTTGTGTTGCGCAAGTCGCATCATGGCCAAGGCGATGTCTGGCCGCGTGTACATTGCGAGGTAGAGAAGCTCGCCGATGAGCTTGCGAAATGCTGTAGGCAGATCCTCGACGTGGGGAAAGGCATCGTTTGGACGACCGAAAGGAAAAACGGGGTCCATTGGCAATGATACGGGGTTGCAGGCAGTCATTCCGTGTTCCTCAAGTAAGTGCAAGATGTAGTCTTCTTGATGCATCCACAGTTCGCGCGTCTTACGCTCGCGGATGAACTGAATGCCGAGGTACTTAGAGACTGCACCGAGATCGGTGATACCAAAACGCTCGGCAATCTGCGCTTTGGTACAGTCAAGGAACGCACGATTATGTCACGAGTTCCAAATACAAACCATTATACGTTCCTAAATTCTAAGTCCTTTAAGCGCCCAGTCACAGCGCCTGTTACTAAGAAAGTATTTATAGTTGAAGATGTCCCAACAACGGCGTCTATTGTAGAGTTACCTAAAGAACCTATGAACGAGTCACGTGACTTATCGGAATATGCCGGACTAAACTTTATTCCAAACGACCCTGACAGAATGTTCCAGAACCTTACGGTTGCTGCGGCACATGTCATGACATCATAGTTATATATAGAATCGTACGATATCATCTTATTATTTGATTGGTAGTTAGTTCAGACTCAGTTTCAATCTCAGTTACAATATGTGTATATAGGTAGTGTCTTGTAGTCAGTAGTTCTTTAGTTCAAACGTCTTGTATCTCCTAGTGAGCAATCCGAGACGTACCTGCTGCCTTATCCTCTTTGTGATTATCTTGTTGTTTGAGTCCTAGTCTCTGCCCAGCGTTAATTCGTTATTGGGTTGTGACATTAGGTTTGAACTATAGGAGACTCCGACTCTCGCGTTACACTCTCGCACATATCTTTCTTTGCTTGTTCATATTGGAAGTCTTTCCATATTGACATTCAAACAAAGCCGTTTACTCTTTGCCCGGTCTAAACAACCGAGACCCATTTTATCATCCTTTGCTCATTTGAGCGCATTTCATACCTATCCGCTTTATTAGTTAGTAGTCCTATACCAGGCCCTGTCTTACCACAGCCGCCAGTATACGGAGGTGTTGACGACATTAGGCGTCTCGCTGCAACTTTGAGTGCTGGCCCAAAACCCTGCCTGCTCAACGTTACTATAGTTTCTTTTTTACCTATCCTTTTTCATCACGCACGTAGGCATTCGTTTCGAGTCAATAGCGGAACTGTCTAGACGACAAACCGTGCTTTCGACCTACGAGGATTTAGAGACATACCCTAGTGAGACTCGCACTTGTAAGCTTCGGCTGGAAGAGTGATAACTTGTCCTAGGCTTGTACCCTCAAAACGGAGATTGCATTGTCCCTAGTTTTTCCCACTCGATCGAGTATAGTTTACGTATCCTTTTCTTAGTCAGTATTAAGGAAGCGTCAGTGTGGGATTTTACCAGAACCCCTTGACCCTGAGCCAGTGGTAGATCCGATCAGATATCGGGGACCGCTCAGTTTTCCGTTACATAACTTTCTTCTTTTCATCATCATTCCCTTTCGGAAGAGCCCTTACGAGCAGCTCTTCAAAGACATCAGTAAATCGGGTTCCAGAACACAACTGGTACTATGTCTTCTCAACCAACGCAACCAGCGCAAACTCAGGAGCAATGGTTCTTGCAATATGTGCAAGATCAGATCTCGGCTACCAGTAACATCCTTCTGCAGAAAATAGCAGAACTAGAGCAAAAGAACCAGGAATTAGCCACTAAAAATGGAGACCTGGAACTACGCTTGAAAGCACAGGAGGATGAATCGGTCAAGAGAGCCGCATCACAACCATCATTCGGAACAGCGGGGGCTACGATGATGGGAAATTCAGCCGCCAACATTAAATTCGCCAAACCTACAGACTTCACTGGAGAGAAGGACTCCATAGACGCACAAACCTGGGTTGCTCAAATCTGCCTGTACCAAACGCAATGGCCTAACATCACCGAAAAACAAAGAATTTCGGTCATGCTATCGTTCATGAAGGGGACGGCTGGGAAGTGGGCGCAAAAATACATCGAGGAGCATGCGCAAGGAAAACTTACCATGGACAAGCTCGATGAAGACTTCTCTGCTATGTGGAAGCAAGAAGATCAAGAAGGGAAGGCGATCAGAGACTTGGATTCTCTCAAACAAGGATCTTCGTCAGTCCCAGAGTACGCAGCCGCTTTCAGACAAAAGGCTGCACACACTTCATTTTCCGACTACGATCAGCGACAAAAGTTCAGAAATGGACTTCAAGACCGTGTCAAGATACAGCTCGCACATGTCCCTTATAAGGACAAAGACACCATGAAGAAACTGGTGGAACACGCGATCCAAATTGGGCGCAATTTTGAAGAGCTAGATGCGGACAAAAAGAAGACTACATGGTGGACTCCGAAACAAGGAGGTCCCAGAAGCCAAGAGTCTAGAGCTGGTCCAAGTAGGGAAAGTGACGCCATGGACGTCGACTCCGGAAAGCAGAAGTGGGCCCCCAAGCCCCAAGGAAAGACTGGATCTTTCAAATGCTACCGCTGTGGAGGAGAAGGCCATATGGCAAGAAACTGCAAAGACGCAGTCGCGCCAAAAGTGCAGGTGAAGGCTACTACAGTGCCAAAAGAAGAAAACTCAATGCCGCAGTGGTTCAAAGACTGGACTGCTAGCAAAGAAGGCAAGGGTTTTTAGAGGGGTCAAAGTCAAAGTCTGCGAACTTAGACCCGAACAATCGTTTCTCCATTCTATCTACGTTTTCGGATGTATCAGAAGTATATATTAAATCCAAATCTGAGCATTTTTATATTCCGATTACGTTGAAAGGAAAGAACCGACAAGCAGACGTGAAAGCGTTAGTGGACTGTGGAGCATCAACATTATTTATAAGTGAAAAGTTTGTGAAAAAGAATGAGATCCGGTGTCGTAAATTATTAAGACCTATTCCGGTTAAAAATATTGATGGTTCGCTAAATGCCGCGGGATCAATGACACACTTCGCAGAACTAGGTCTAAAGATCGGTGATCATGTTGAGGATGAAGCAGCCTTCATGGTTACGGACCTAGGAAACGATGATGTTATTATCGGCATAGATTGGCTAAGATATCATAATCCGGAAATAGACTGGAATGCTGGACAATTTGCACTTTCTCGATGCCCGATTAAATGTATTACGAAAAAAGAACAAAGACAAAAAAATAAAGAAAAAAGAAAAGAACAAAAAAAGACAGAAGAAGTGCCAGATCTGATTCCCACAGAAGAGGATGACGAAGAAGACATGGCGATGAAAAGGGCGACGGTCGAGGAAATAGAAGATGAAGAGTATCCTGGAGAATGGATCAAGTATAAAGCCTCGGTTGCCACAGAGCAGAAGGTTGCAGAAGAAGCAACAAAAGTGAAGAAATCGGTTGAAGAGATGGTCCCCGATTGGCTTCACGATTACCTGGGAGTTTTCTCAGAAGAAGAGTCTAAACGCTTCCCCGAAAGAAAAAAGTGGGATCATGCGATAGATCTTAAGGATAATGGCGATCTCCCGCCAAATGCGAAACCTTACCCATTGTCACCTAAAGAGATGGACACTCTGAAAGATTGGTTGAAAGCTGAAACCGCACTGGGACGTATTAGAGAGTCACAATCCCCAGTGGCAGCGCCTTTCTTCTTTGTGGCCAAGAAAGATGGCAAACTAAGACCGGTAATGGACTATAGAAAGCTCAATGAGAAGACGGTTAAAAATGCATATCCGCTACCGAGATCTCAAGATTTAATTGATGCTTTAACCGGTGCCACGATGTACTCTAAAATGGATGTACGATGGGGGTATAACAATATTCGCATGAAAGAAGGAGACGAGTGGAAGGCGGCCTTCAAAACGCCGTTTGGTCACCATGAACCAACCGTAATGTACTTCGGGTTGACGAACTCCCCTGCCACGTTTCAAACAATGATGAACGAGATATTCAGAGATTTAATTGATGGAAAAACCGTAGTGGTCTATATTGATGATATTCTCGTGTTCACAAATGGCGATAAGGAGCAACACCGGAAGGTTGTACGAGAGGTACTAAAACGACTAAAAGAGAACGACTTGTATCTGAAGCCTGAAAAATGTAGCTTCGAACAGTCGGAAGTCGAGTTCCTCGGGTTGATTGTGGAGAAGGGTGGTGTTCGAATGGACCCTGTGAAAGTAGAAGGAGTTATGAAATGGCCTACACCTAAATGCGTTAAAGATATCCAAGCATTTATGGGTTTTGCCAACTTCTACAGAAGATTTATCTTCGGGTTCTCGGACATAGCCAGACCAATGAATGATTTATTACGGAAGGATGTCAAATGGGACTGGACGGAGAAACAACAAGATGCGTTTGATGAACTGAAGTCAAGGTTCACAACAGCTCCGATTCTAGTAATGCCAGATGTTGAGAAGAAAATGAAAATAGAAACCGATGCTTCTGATTACGCAACTGGAGCGGTTTTATCTCAACTAATGGAAGATGATTTGTGGCACCCCGTAGCTTATTATTCGAAGTCGATGAACGATGCAGAACGAAATTATGACGTTCACGACAAAGAATTATTAGCAATCATTCGAGCGTTGGAGGAGTGGAGGCACTATGTGCAGGGAAAGCCTCACCATGTGGAGATCTGGACAGATCACAAGAATCTCGAGTATTTCATGACGAGCCAAAAGTTAACAAGAAGGCAAGCCAGATGGAGTTTATTCCTGGCGGAGTACGAATTTACACTCCAACATAAGCCTGGTGTAGTTAACGATAAGGCAGACCGTCTATCTCGGAGAGAAGACCACAGAGGGGGGGTAGAAAACGATAATTCTGATCGCGTTCTGTTAAAACCGGAGTTTTTTACCGTAAAAGCTGCCAAAAGAGGTCAAGTTCTAATACAAGGAGAAAAACAATTGCTGAAAAGGATAAGGCAATGTACAGAACGAGAACCTGAAGTCGCTAAAGCATTAGAAACATTGAAAGCGGCACCGGTACAACTGCGCAGAGGGATTGAAGAATGGAATGTTGAGGATGGATTGGTGTTATTCCGAGGACTGGTTTACGTTCCAAACGATAAGGAGATCCGCCGAGAAATACTAGAGTTGTTTCACGACTCTCCACCGGCTGGACACCCAGGACGAGCCAAAACCTTAGAATTGATTTCCAGAAATTATTGGTGGCCTTCAATGACGAAGTATGTCCACGATTACGTAGATGGCTGTGATAGATGCAGAGCAACGAAGATTCACCCAACACAACCACACGGTCCGCTTAAACCAAACGAAATACCAGCGGGACCTTGGCAATCAATCACTTGTGATTTGATAGTAGATTTGCCTAAAAGTGAAGGGTTCGACTCTATTTTTGTTGTCGTTGATCGATACACAAAACAAACGCACATCATGCCTACAAAAAAGGAAGTTGACGCTCGAGGAATCGCGAAACTTTTCTTAGATAACGTATGGAAGCACCATGGAACTCCGAAACAGGTGATATCAGACAGAGGAACACAATTCGTCTCTAAGTTTATGGGACAAGTGTCGAGACGCCTAGGCATAAAATGGAACATGTCAACGGCTTATCATCCTCAGACAGATGGACAAACGGAAAGAATAAATCAAGAAGTCGAGCAATATTTGAGAATGTTCACGTCTTACCGCCAAAATGATTGGGTAGACTGGCTTCCACTAGCAGAATTCGCTCACAATAATTCCGTCACTGTAACTGGCCATAGTCCATTCAAAGTACTCTACGGATACGATCCAGAGTTTACTTTTTCACCGATTTCCAATTCCAAAGTACCTGCAGCTGATGAACGAGTGGACGTAATGAAAGAGGCGAAAGAAGACGCAGAAAGTATGCTGCGCATGGCTAGTGAGCGGATGAAAAGATTCTACGATAAAGGAGTAAAAGACGCACCACAGTTCAAGAAGGGAGACATGGTCTGGCTCAATGCCAAGAATATTCATCAGAAAAGACCGAATAAGAAACTCTCCGACCGAAGACTTGGTCCGTTCGAAGTGCTTGAGAAGACGGGTGATGTAAATTACCGCCTGAAACTTCCAGCAAAATATCAGATCCACCCAGTATTCCACGTAGAATTACTCACCCCGCATTCCCCCTCGACCTTAATCCAAAGACCTCCACATCATCGTCCGCCGCCAGAGATCGTATCAGAAGGCGATTCCGAATGGATAGTACGAAAAGTCCTAGACTCGAGACTGCACAGATCAAAACTCCAATACCTAGTAGAGTGGGAAGGATATCCGATAGAAGAAGCGACATGGGAACCTGAAGAAAACCTCGAGAATGCACGGTTGAAAGTTCAAGAATTTCACCGGCAAAATCCGAAAGCATTGAATCCCCGCAAAATTAACAAATCGGTGTTCGAAACACAAGAATTCTTGGAGTGGCGTCGAAACTTTATCCGCCCAAATGTCTTTCGCGATGACGCTCAACCTAGAGAGGGGGTAATGTCACGAGTTCCAAATACAAACCATTATACGTTCCTAAATTCTAAGTCCTTTAAGCGCCCAGTCACAGCGCCTGTTACTAAGAAAGTATTTATAGTTGAAGATGTCCCAACAACGGCGTCTATTGTAGAGTTACCTAAAGAACCTATGAACGAGTCACGTGACTTATCGGAATATGCCGGACTAAACTTTATTCCAAACGACCCTGACAGAATGTTCCAGAACCTTACGGTTGCTGCGGCACATGTCATGACATCATAGTTATATATAGAATCGTACGATATCATCTTATTATTTGATTGGTAGTTAGTTCAGACTCAGTTTCAATCTCAGTTACAATATGTGTATATAGGTAGTGTCTTGTAGTCAGTAGTTCTTTAGTTCAAACGTCTTGTATCTCCTAGTGAGCAATCCGAGACGTACCTGCTGCCTTATCCTCTTTGTGATTATCTTGTTGTTTGAGTCCTAGTCTCTGCCCAGCGTTAATTCGTTATTGGGTTGTGACAGATTATTGGACCCCGCAAGTCCGTCGTCAACATGCCACGCAATGATGCATGTTACCCTCACCCCCTCACCATTGACGTGGTCGAAAATAAACACCGCATAGTCAGCGTCGCAGCGAAGAAAGCCGAGGTGAGTGAGTACTTCGCGCAGGAGTTCATACCAATCATACGCGGCCTGCTTTAGGCCGTACAACGAGGAGAGGAGATGCGCGACTAAGCGAGCGCCATCAGATCCAACACGCTCAAATCCAGGGGGCTGCCGCATGTAAACGTTCTCCTGTAGCTTGCCCCACAGGAACGCACACTTTGCGTCGAAGCAATCTAGCTCCCAATCGCATGCTGCTGCATGTGCTGCGAGCACTCGGATTGACGCGGACTTGGCGACGGGGGCAAAGGTGCGTCCAAAATCGACGCCGGGAATCTGCGAGAACCCCTGCGCAACTAACCTAGCTTTGAAGACCGATCCCCCCTTCAAGTCTTCTTTGAACTCGAGCACCCATCGACACCCGATCGCTCGTCGTTCCGCAGGTAAGGGCATCAACTCATAAACATTCATTTCTGACATCAGATTGATCTCTTTCCTCATTGCAGCTAGCCAATGGTCACTATCCGGGCGTCGCATGGCTTCGTCGTAAGTCGCGGACGGGATGGCGAGGTCATAACCGTTTGCGAGGGGATTACGTCGTGTGTCGCTGCGAATCGCCAGGGATGCAACCTCAACGATGATGAGATTCGCAATGACCTGTGGGAAACCCACCTCCTCGCTCTCAGGCAAGATGGCGTCAGGGTCTGTGGGAATAGGAGTGGGTGGTCCTGGCATCGGCGTTGGCGTGGTGACGATGGGCGGATCCGACGAGTCAGTGTTCGCCGAAGAAGGTGGGATACCATTGACTCGCGCGGCTCTAAGCTCACGCTGACGTGCTAACCTTGCCTTGTCAGCTGCCACACGATCTCTCAAGGCGTGTCCGCGTTCAGTAGGTACGGGGATCCGACCTGAACGACGAAGTGTCGCGGTGTGAGGAGGTTCAGATGAGGCCGTTGATGAAGGAGGGATGGATGGTGGAACGGGGGCTATTACCTTGGATGCGGTAGGAGTGTCCTCATCCTCGTCGGTGTCCGGTGCGTCTGCAGGATTCTCGTTGAATATGACATCGCGGGAGTTGAAGAACCCGCCCGTGACAACGTCGCGGCAACGCCAAGCTTTCACGCCAGGCGGATACCCCATGAACAGTGCCTTTCTCGAGCGCGGCCCCAGTTTTTCCTGCAACTCCGGTGGAATCCACGCGAAACAACGCGCACCGAATACGCGAAGATGACTGAGATTAGGCTGGCTCCCGTGCAACATTTCGTATGGCGTCTTGCCCGGGGGTAAAGCCCGTGATTCCGTGCGATTAAACAAGTAACACGCGGTGAGTGCAGCCTCACCCCAGAGAGACGGAGGCAAACGCGCGAAGTCCAACATCGCATACATACGACCTTCGATCGTACGCATCACCCTCTCTGCCTTACCATTTTGCTGATGAGCGTATGGGGCAGAGCGTTGACGTTGGACCCCGGCATCTTCAAGATCTTTCGTAAAGGCATCACTTAAGAATTCCCCCCCGTTGTCCGAACGGAAGGTCTTGACTCGTTTCCCTGAAATGTTTTCTGTACGAGTGGACAGTGATGCCCATGGGGGTGAGGAACGCACTGGCAGCACACCAACGTCGAATGTCTTCTGCCCTACGACACCTTATCGGCAAAATCTGCCATGTGTACTTGGATGATATTATCATCTGGTCGCAAACGTTGGGGGAGCACGAGCGTAATGTTCGTGCTGTCTTGTTGGCGCTGCGTAACGCACACCTTTTCTGTTCTCCTAAAAAGACGTCATTGTTTAACCTTGAAGTTGACTTCTTAGGTCACCATATATCAGCTCGAGGGATCGAGCCTGATAAATCTAAAGTCGCACGCATTCTCGACTGGCCAACACCACGACGGTCAAGTGATGTTCGGTCCTTCCTAGGACTAGTAAGATACCTTGCGGATCATCTGCCGGCCTTGGCTGAACATGCTCGTATACTGACACCTTTGACGACAAAAGCCGCCGAGCTCGCCTTCCCTCTCTGGTCGGCAGAACATGAAAGGGCCTTCAATGCGATCAAGGAACTCGTCACTAGTCCGCACTGCCTGACGACTATCGATCACGATAACCCCGGAGACAACAAGATCTTTCTGACTTGCGACGTGTCCGACTACCGGACAGGCGCTGTTCTCTCTTGGGGGGAGACATGGAAGACAGCAAGGCCTGTGGCATTTGACTCTACTCAATTGCGTGAGGCGGAACTGAACTACCCAGTCCATGAGAAGGAGTTACTTGCGATCATCCGTGGCCTCAAGAAATGGCGCGTCGAGTTGCTGGGACAGCCGGTGCAAGTGTTCACCGACCACCGGATGCTGGAGAACTTTGTGAACCAGAAAGGTCTGTCGAGGAGGCAAGCCCGTTGGGCCGAGTACCTCGCACATTTCGACCTCAACATCTCTTACTTAAAAGGAGAAGACAACGCTGGTGCGGATGCTCTATCGCGCCTGAACATTGATGAGCCTGAAAGTCCTTCGGCGATTACCATTGCCGCTACGCTATCTTCGGTCGAAATAGCAGACAGCACAGTCAGCGTGCGGATGCGTGTCGAACACGACAAGTCCTTTCTGAAAGACTTACTAAATGGTTACGCTGACGATCCTTTCTGTAGGAAGCTCATGAAGCTGGTGGGCTCCCTGCCGGGTCTGGCGCTACAAGAGGGACTACTATACGTCGCGGATCGACTGGTCGTGCCACGCATTAACCCATTGCGGGAGCAACTCTTTCACCTCGCTCACGACGCATCAGGTCACTTCGGAAGCGACAAAACATACGCTGCCCTGCGCTCATCTTACTATTGGCCTAATATGCGCAGGGATCTGGTAGAGTCGTACATACCAAGCTGTGTGGAATGTATGCGCAACAAATCCGGGACGACATCGATAGCAGGCCCCCTGCATCCACTGCCTATACCAGACGCACGAGGAGATTCCGTGGCCGTGGACTTCATAGGGCCGTTGCCTATGGACGAAGGTTTCAATATGATCATCTCGATGACTGACCGGCTCAATGCGGATCTGCGGATTCTACCTTGCAAGGACACGATAACGGCTGAACAGTTCGCCCTCTTGTTCTTCGACAACTGGTACTGTGAGAACGGACTTCCACTAGACATTGTGTCCGACCGCGACAAACTCTTCCTCTCACGTTTCTGGAAGACTCTACATAAGCTAACCGGAGTCAAATTGAAAATGTCCTCGTCCTATCATCCACAATCGGATGGCGCAAGTGAGCGTACTAACAAAACAATTAATCAATGTATTAGGTTTCACGTGGAACGAAACCAAAAGGGCTGGGTGCGCTCGTTGCCTCGTGTGCGCTTCAACATCATGAACACGGTGAACGCAAGCACGGGCATGTCTCCCTTCCAGCTACACCTTGGAAGGAACCCGCGAATCATGCCGCCTCTCACGCAACAACCCGCTGCCGAAGGAGTACCGGAAGACAAACGCGCGCGTGCACTGATTTCCCAGCTGGAGCTCGACGTGATGGAGGCCCAAGATAACCTCCTCGCAGCAAAAGCCACGCAAGCAACTCAAGCAAACAAGCACCGCACACCGGAACGCACTCTAGAGGTGGGAGACAAGGTCATGCTGTCCACCAAACATTGCAGACGAGAATATATGCAAAAAGGTGATAAACGCGTAGCTAAATTTATGCCCAGGTACGACGGACCTTACGCCATCATCGAGACACATCCGGAATCTTCGACATACACACTCGACCTCCCGAACTCGCCAAACATCTTCCCAACTTTCCACTCCTCACAACTTCGTCCTTACCACCCAAACGACTCTACGCTGTTCCCTTCACGCGAGTTCCCGCGGCCAGGTCCCGTCGTCACAGAAGACGGACAAATGGAGAACTTCATCGAGAAGATAGTAGATGAGAAGAAGGTCGGCAGAGGCAAAAAGTATCTGGTTCGCTGGGTCGGGTATGGTGCTGATGAAGACGAATGGCTACCACACCGTGACTTGGAGGACTGCGAGGCCCTGGATGTCTGGGAAAGAGAGAAAGAAGCTCGATAGGGTGGGAGGGTGTAAGCATGCCTATGCTTACGCATGACGACACGATGACGTCTGCTTATACGACATCACGCTGATTGGGCACCGCACCTTATTTACCCCTGTTTGTCCTAACGCATACTTATACCGGACGCCTAGATCATGTACCGGTATCTTTTCTTATTCCTGTTCAATCATACGCTTCTACACGTTTACCGCTGTCTGATCTCGAACGTAGTGTTTCTACCCTTGGGTAGTTTCCACTTTTTTGTGGCCGGAATTGCACCCAGGTTCTTGCCTTTGTGAGCGAGCTCGCAAGTCATGTTAGACTTAAAGCTGACGTCCCAACCTTTCGCGTTCATGCAGCTGACGGACAACAAGTTAAGCATCGCATTGGGCGCATGCAGACAATTGGAAAGCTTGATGCACAAGCGCCGTTTCCCGATGGTGAGCCAGGCCACACATGTACCGCGACCTGCGGTTTCTAGTATGCCATGATTAGCCGTGCGAACAGATATTGATTCTTCTGTAGAATACGAGTGGAAGAAGTGCCTGTCTTTGACGAGTGTGACGGTCGTGCCCGAATCTAGTATTGTGGCGAATGGGAGGGACGTGGCACAGGCAATGTCATCCGGAACCTCCGCAATCGAGGCAAACGACATGTCTGTCATCAGACTGTTTAGACCTGCCACCGCAGCTGCAATGGCCGGAACGGGAGGTGAAAGGGACAAAGAAGGCGTAGGTGCCGATGGCGTGGTGGCAACTGCTGCGACTGGAGTTTCTTTTTCTTTCCGTTTGCTATTGCACATCCATGGCGCTTGACCTTCCATGCCACCCCCTTTTCCGTAACAGTGCGCGTGATCGTGGTCTCCTTTATTACAGCCTGGCGTCGTGCAGAAGATTCCGTCTGGATTATGTCTATGTTTCCGCAGCCCAGTAATAGGGTTGACGCCAGGTGCACTCGTGCTTGTGGCGGCCGCGTGGGCATATTCAGAGCCGGGACGGGCAGAATGGACAGCATGTGCATGCACATGGCGCGCGGCTTCAGCGGTGATTCGAGAGACACAGCTCTCGACAGTGAAGGTGGAAGGATTCGTGGCAGTTGCAAGCATGATTTCATCGTGCATGCGTTGCTCGAGCATGGACTTGAATTGTTGCCAGATCGGAGTCTGAGGAAGTCCAATGAGCAAGCTGTAGATGGCATCTCCGTCTCGCAGAGGGGCACCGGAATCATGGAGCCGTTCGCGAAGCACAGCATGCTGGCCAACGTAATTCGTTGCATCTGCAGAATCCTTCATGCGAAGGGCATCAAGACGTTGACGTAGTTGGTACTGAGCGCTTGTATCTGTGCGATTGAAGTGTTCTGCAAGAGTTTGCCATGCCTTGCGAGCGGTGACAGTGTGAGAGCGTGATACTAGCGAACCAACAGATGGACTGAGACGGCGCGTAATTAAATCTTTAGCCTTCATATCGTTTAACAGCCATTCACGCATCGTCGCCAATTCGGCGGGCGTGATGTTGGCTGGATCGGCTGGAACAGGCATTAAGGATGGTGTTCCGAGAATATCTGTGGGATCAGCAGTAGTGTTGATGTGGCACCAAAGATCCTCGCAAGCTAAGGCATATTGAGTCTTTGTCGACCAACCAACATAATTTTCTGAGCCTAGCAATTCCGGAATATGATCGTACTTTCCCATGGCGATACCGCTGTGGGGGAGGAGTATGATGAGATATGGTGCACGAATGGTGGTTCAACGTGAGTGGATTTTTGTCCTTTGTAGTTCCGTCTGATGGCTCAGTAAGAGCCAGGGCTCATAACCTGTAGGACGTTGGACTGAAAGGACAAGTCTCAGCGTGTTGAGTAGAAACACTATAACATTCATAATACCTGAAAGGACAAGTCTATAGTACGAACACAATGAGAAAGGGACAAAACGTAGAGACGGCGTGATACGTACCTCAGCGTGTTGAGTAGAAACGCTGAGGTGTAAACTAAGAGGGAAGGCGAGATTATAAACTATGTTACAGAGTCCAGGATGCCATAGTACGAGAAAGGAAATGATGACGAAGTAGAGAAGCGATGACGAAGTTGATTCCAACACCTGTCACCTTCGCATGTAGCATCCAATCATGGCACAACCTGTTATTTACCAAGGACTTCGATATTGCAGACTTTGAGACTGTATACCTACACGATATGTACACCCAAAGGATCTGATGCATCATGGGTAGTGCTGCCGTGGTCCGGTTCAGTCCGGTTCACAGAGGGTCGAGCGAGAACCAAGAACTGGACCTAGGTCCGGTTCTACCAGACTCAACGAACCTCGAACTGGACCTTGGCGAACGGTTCAGAATGGTCAGGTCCGGTTAATTTCAGGTTCGAACGTGAACCGAACCAAATTTATTTACAATGAGCAAAAAAAAACATAAGTAGGTACTCATAGCTACACATCCAACTACACAGCTTCTGCCTCGACTGTCGCAGAAACATGGCCATTCCTATACGCCACCTTTAACAACTGTAATGAGCCAAACGTGGACGATGCGAGTGCATTGCGTCGCACGGTGGAGGTGATCCCTCCGCTTGAGAAAGCCTGTTCGGAGGGGACGGAGCTGCCCTGGATGGGCAAATAATCGCGCGCAAGGCGTCCTCAGGTTCGGCTTCGGGCTGGTCTCCCACGGGCTGGTCCTCCAAAGGATCGGTGTCATGACCAGCGTCGTCGTCATCAAGGCTATCCTCGTCTGATAATAGACATGATAAAACCTTTTTGTGAGCCAGTTGAAGTTGAAGTTCAGTAGCGCTAGACAATGCACGTTTGCGGTTTGTTGAGCTGGTGGAGGTCGAGGTTGAATAAATGTTCTCAGCATCCCGGAGGCGAGCAGATGGCTTAGAGGTCCGAATGGATTGTCGAGCACCAGCTGTAACTGGTGTTGGTTTGCGCCCAGTATTCAGTAGCATAGAGAAGGCATCCTGAGGAGGATTAGTAGATGATGATGGCTGGGGGGCAGAGGACGTGGTGTCAAGGGGGACAGAATCATCGGGATCGTGGTAGAAGACAATGTCCTTGGCATCCTTGAGAGAACCGTCAGCATTGACAGCGCATGAGTCTGAATGAGCCATGTTGAATATAGTGCTTACCTGCTGAGGCTTGCACATTTTATGTGCAAGCAAATCAGACAGCCGGTGGACAAACAGCCGGTGGAGGATCGTAATAGCATCGTAGGGTGTTGGTATGATAAGGATCTGGGCGAGGACATGGTCATTATGAGCACAACACTCACACTGTTCAGTTTGAACAGTGCATATCATGACTTACCTTGTCAATGAGCCTCTGCATTTGACGGAAACAAGTAAGTATCGAAGCTCGAGAATCCTTGAGGCCAAGGCGAATCATCAAAGGCAGTGTCAAAACACGCTTCGACAATGCGACAGAACTTCTCGCGGTTCGGGGTTCGGACCGGTTCAGGGAAGGTTCAAACCAACATAGAACCGTTCAGGCAAATGGTGGACCGTGAACCTCACTCAGGTCCGGTCCGCCCCAATTCATGGACCACGGACCGAACCAAGGAAGAACCTGACCGTTGGTCAGGTTCGGACCGTGGTTCTGGACCGAACCACGGCAGCACTAATCATGGGGCGTCTATGGAAACGTGGTGAAGGGTCACGTGATCGAAACACATTGTAATGAACATTCACATTGGGGTAGTTCATGTTCCAGACCACGGACCAGACAGAAGCATATTAATAGGCGCCTTGGCATCGATTGTCCGATCTCAGAAAAACATGGACAAAGGCAGCGGAGGGTTACAGCAAATATTCATCATATAAAAGATGGACTCAATCCGTTTGATTCCTCAGAAACCGTCTCTTCTTCAACCAACTTTGCAGCATCACACATCCTCACACTCTTTTAAAGTTTTCAACCGTTCCACTTAACACAATAATGGCGCTCAAGGTGATTTCCTGAAATCTCGGTAAGCTCGGTAAAGGTCGGTAAAGGTCGGGTAAAATGTCCTGCTGGCAGTTAACATAAGGCTCTGAAGTTAGCTGACTCAACTATACGGCGTACTTCGGCATGACGTCGGAGCTTAAAAGTATATGCCTGCCCTACGACCACGACTACGTCGCTCTGCACGACTGCAGGGGTCGCAGAACCTCTCCCCAATCTACTACCAGGCCAAGTGGAAGGCCATGAATCCTCCTCCAGTCCCACCCCCCAACCGTGGAAGAGGAAAGTCCAGGCGTTCCAAAGGAGATGGAGATACCACCGAGACAAGCATCAGTTGGCAGGCAGACATCCAACGTACCAACAAGCTGGTCGATTACCTCGTCAACAATGTGGCAGATTGTCGCATCCTATTCTCTAGCGAGGGGAAGAAACCTAGTGATCCTAATATCGAGGGTCCTCCATCGGGCAAAGACAAGAACGCAATCTATGCAGTGATAGCAGAAGTGATTTTCAGCGGCGATAGAGTATATTCTGGCCAATATGCTGCCAATCGGACCAGGTTTCGTGACTCTGTGTCCAACCGTATAACAGCGTAAGTGATCCTTTGGTTATCAGATCGTAGATGCTAATCAAGTTATTTGAAGTCTCCGGAATAAATTCCGTGACTACCGCAATGAATTTGAATCAACTGGTGCAGGGATTGTGCCCCTCGATGCATGTACTGCGGAAAATCTACATGGTGAGTCCGTTACTTATGTTTATTTAATTCTACTAATAAAATTCACAGCCAAAGTCCAGAAAGAATTCCCCTGGTACGACGATCTCCATAAAATATGGGGCTCCAACCCATCATTTGCTGCCAAAATGACTTCATCAAAGCCAGGCACCGACCACGCAGGTGATCTTTTTGCCCTCACCCGTCCTGCGGGCAGCTCTGTTCATCCCCCCCCACAATGTAACATCCCTTCTACCAGCGCTGCCACTGGTAGTGGAACAGGCGTCCCACAATCTAACTACCCTCCCCCTCCCTATCCGCCACCTTCACAACCTTCACAGTTTGCCCCCCATCAATTTGACCTCCGTCACCAAAGTGGTCAACCAGGCGGTGTCGCTGGTTCCCACCCACAGTGGAATTACAATGTCCCTCCCCAAAGCGCCCACCCTGGCAGTGTTCCTGTTCCCCAATTCAGCTTCCCCCTCCCACAAAATGCCCAACCAGGGAACACTTCTGGCTCTCCGCAGCACTGGAATTTTGGCCTCCCTCCCCAAGGCACCTATACTGGTGGTGTCGCTGGCTCTCTCTCCACTCCCCAATTCAACTTTGCCCCCCCTCAACAGAGTGTTCAAGCAAGCAGCACTTCTGGCTCTCCACAACGCTGGAATTATGACCTCTCTCCCCAAGGTGCTCAGTCACAAAGCCGCAACACATACTCCCCAGGCCCTCAGACACTTTCAGACTTTCCTGGAATGGACGACAACAACAACAACCCCCTTGCTGGTGACATGGAAGACCTGCATATGGATGAGTCAGTCGGTCATCATTTTGGACAGCCCACCAAAATCGAAACGGGGCGCCAAGAAACGCCAGCAGCCTCCATCTTCTCCAACTCCGTCCCCCCCTCCCTCATTTGCAGCTCCACAGAAGCCCCGCACCTCCATCCACGATGGTCGTGGCTCCTTCAAATCTCATGCTGGTCAGCTCATGGTGTGCGAGGGTGCTACTAATAGCACCCCTTCTGTCACATCCTCGAAGACCTCCCGCAGCTCATTGGGACGTGGACGCGCTGGTAGGCAAGGCTCATCAGTTCAAAAATTGCCAACTTCACAAACATCTGTTTCGGCCAATCCAAAAGGCAAGGACTCAGTGTCGAAACGTGTCCGGTCGGAAATTCAAGAACAAGTCGAGATGTTGAACGATGACTTGGAGAGCATACACTCTGAGAAGGTCTCGTTGTATCAGCTCAAGAATGAGCGACTGATGGTGAAGATGAATTCTAACCGCCAGCAGAAAGAGCACGATTTCCTTTGTGAGGAGCGTGCCAATGAGCGCGCAGATGCTGCTATTGTCCATCAACGCATGAAGGAGGCCAAGGAGACGGAGATTCGCCTGCGTGAAGCAGACGCCAAGGCTCTTGAAATGGAGAGGGACGTGATGCGCCTGCGGATCGAGTGGGCCAAGATCAATGCTGCCAAGAGTGATTGATCTCTCCTGGGGCTTCAATTTGTATGTTTGTATATTCGTTCACTGGATTTTGTTTCTGTTCGCACTTCCGACTTGCTCATTTGTTTTTTTTTCATATCTCACGCTTGCATTTGTCTTGTTCTCGCGCATCTTTGTATGGCTGCCACTGTCTTCCATGAATTACTCACTATATCTACGTACTACAATTGTTCTTGTGATGAATCATCCGTGTTATGTGCTCACCCTTCGCGACGTTGAGCTTCTGAATGAGGGCTGTCGAACAATTGATCCATGAGCCTTGCCCTACATGCTTGACCCGGGGTACCCTCATATGATCTATCGCCTATCACTTCGTCACCATCCGCTTCTTCAAACTCACGGCGCATAGTATTTAGCCCCTCCCCGACAGCCCATCTGATTGTTGAGCGGTTGCGCTGTGCCTCAAAGCGGATGATCATATTGTGGAGTATCAGGCAACACCTGACCCAGTGGAGAGTGATTTGAAGGTCCTTTTGATTCTGCATCGGGTGACGAAGTTCTTTGAGGGATTGGAAGCGTCCTTTCAAAGCAGCGAATGCATGCTCGATGTGAACGCGAATCTAAACCAATTGAAAGTTAGTAAATATTCTAACGAGCAGAAAAATGAGCACATATGCGAGAGAGACTGACATTAAAGCTCTTTTGATTCCTCGTCAAGCGGCCATTCCGTGGCTTCTTGAAGGGAGGAACACACCACCTCTCCAGTGCATAAGCACTATCGGCCCAGATCCAGTGGTCAGCTTGAAGAAGGGTGTCGTGTTCTTGATAAACACGTGTCGATTTGAATGCATATGCGTCGTGTGTGCTTCCAGGATGACCGAGGGAGTAATCGACGATAAGCAAGTTATGAGGCATGATAACTCCCTAAAGGTTTCGTTAGATTTCGTATCATTAGAATAAGAGGAAAAAATGTACCTGACAATTGAGAGAATAATTTGATTTCCTATCATAAAACGCTTCACCATAAAGACCGGGCTTTTCGTACAGATTAATTGCAGAGCCATCAACAGCGAAGATCCCATTTCTCCACTCGGGACATGACCTCGCCTCGACGAATCGGCGAGCCTGCTCTGCATCATCGGAGTCAAGAGCAGGGAAGACAATGAACGTATCGTGGAGATCAAGAATGGCGACCATGACGCGATTGCTACAATTGATTACCGAGCCGATGCTAACACCAGCCCACTGAGCCACGTCTTCCGGAGATATAGCGTTACCGTAGTGCCCAGCACGGTTAAGAAATATTGCAAGTTGGACTGCGACGGGGAGCTGCAGGTTATTTGAGCGATTGGTGAAAATGGTGTGACCTGAAATTTGATCTAAGATGTCGTCAAATATGTCTGGATTGACGCGGAGCTTCTTGCGGAACAGGTGAGGTCGAGAGTCCCCGAAATCATGAAGGAGTTGTATTTGGGGGGCTCGCATGGGAGGTGCATTTGGTTGATGGAGGACACGTGCCCTGATGACCTCATCATAAAGGGAAGTGATAGTGTCATTCAGACGGTCATAACGTGCAGCAAAGTGGTCAGATTCATCGCTGGAGGAGTCGAAGTCAGAACTGTCAGAGAAAAATGGGGTAGGAGGTGACGGAGGTGTGATAATTGTGTCGAGGTCAGAATCGTCCGAATCCAAGTCATCAGAATCAGAATAGGAGAGAGCATAACTTCGGATTGCATGCTGAAGCCTTGCCTTTTTCAAGGCTAGTTGCACCTCATCCAATTCGTCAAGGAGCTCATTGCGTAGGGAGTGACGGGGCATAGTGAAGGTAGTGTCGTGGGCAGAAAGGAATTGGCCTCTCGGCAGATGGCAGAATGGCAGAACGGCAATTGGCAGAATGGCAAAAGTCGGCAAAATGTATTGTGAGCATTTTTAGCTCTTTTCAACTATGTTTGTACTATGGCAAAAATGGTTTTGACTACTACACTAATGCTATACCTGATGAGTCAAAAGTGCATCAATATCATACCCTGATGCACTCTCTGAGCTTCGATTGAGTACATTGATCTCTTCAACAAAGCCAGTTGGCACCGTGGATTCTGCCCCTGGGCCATCATTTTCTCACAGTTGGTCAGCCTCCAGCTGTGTCTCACGTGTTTGATCGACTTTCAACTTCTCAGATCAGTAATTGATTCTGGACCACAGTGTGAGATAATCCTGGTGATCAGAGTCTGCTGCAAGGGGAGGAATCCATGCAAACGACCTTTGAGTCGACTTGGAAATAAGTCGCAGAAGCGATAGATGGGGATAGATTTGATAGATTTCGGCCTTGATTGCCTTTTTTGTAGTGAGGTAGCCACACTGCACGAGCATGCCAGATTATGATATATTTTTCAGTCAATTAGATGTTTGTGCCGAGCAGCAGTTGCATGTGAAAAAGTAGTTATTTGAGTTGTTTTTGACCAAATTTTGACTTTCTCCCCAGTAACTACTAACAAAGTGGTTGGACACAAGTTTTTGGACAGAATGGCCCTTGGGCTTCTAGGCCACATGTCAAATTTTTATTGTTTTTAGTAGGAACAAATACTAGGTCATCGTATTTCTGCCGACTTCTGCCAACCACCCTTGACCTACTGCCGGCAATTGCCGCTTGGCAATTGCCACTGGCAGAATGGCAGCATTCTGCCAACAACACTAAGTGAAGGTAGAGATAAGATCTTATTTTAGGCTCCGACGTCATGCCGAAGTACGTCGTATAGTTGAGTAAGCTAACTTCAGAGCCTTATGTTAACTACCAGCAGGACATTTTACCCGACCTTTACCGACCTTTACCGAGCTTACCGAGATTTCAGGAAATCACCTTGAGCGCCATTAATGTTCGCTCGTTTCTTCGCTGTTGCTTTCCTTGTGGTCCTCGCTGTCGCTACTCCCCTCACTAGCCACTATCCGTGGTGCCGGCCAGTGCAACACTAATAGTAACGTCCAGTGCTGTGAGAGTTCTGCCAGTGTGAGTAATGAATTCTTATTCATTTTCACTGATTCTCATGGTTTCTGTAGACTTCCGAGTACAACAAGGTGGCAAGGTCTCTTGGCCTTGAAGAAATACCGGCCAGTGTCGCCGGCCATGTTGCCTGTAGCTGCAACCCTATTAGCGCTGTTGGCATTGGCAGTGGCGCCACTTGCAACCGACAGCCTATGTGTTGCAGCAATAACCAGATGGTGAGTTGCAGCTCGGTGTTCTCTATTCTGCCCGTGTCTGACAGGGAAATTTCAGAACGGCCTTGTCAACATTGGGTGCACTCCCATTATGCTCTGAGTCGATCCTTAAGTTTTTCCTGGATTTTGGACTTTCCTTACGATATTACATAGTACATATTTTCCTTATAAGCTTTATAGCTGGTAATACCGCACTATCTGGTTTGCATCTGACTTGATCTGACTCGCACTACCAGTGGGATCTGACGGCAGTGCGTGTTCTTTAAAAAGACCATTAATACTTCGACATTGGTGGATGGTACTGCGGTCTCGCGGCGCCCACGAAGAGTGAGTGAGTCCTTAAGCCACTGACCTACTAAGATGCCGCCCTGGTTGACGGCCGACATCTATCACTTTGTATGATGCATTTGGACTCAAGCTGACGACAACGGCACGTTTTATGAGATGTGTACATGCATCCCTAGTCATAAGTGACCTTCCATGATGATTGTTTGCAACTCAACTGAACTCCTCTTTCTTAGGTGGGCGCTGGGCCAATGGGTCTGGTAGTAGCATTGACACTCCTCCAAAAGATTTGGTTTGCCATGCCCTAGTACTTGAGACATACCGGACCATGGTTTCATTGAATGCACAACATGGCTACGCTTTCTCAAACTCTTCAACTTTCTCAATGGCTCAGAAGTCAACGATCAGGCGAAGCTGGCTCCCATTGTCCGTTCATATAGGTCTCGAATGTTGTAACCTCTGACAGACTCTCCGCTAGCTCCGCATACGGGGCCTTCAACCTACCAGCGATGTTATTCATGCGCAGCACAGCCGTGTTCTCGAGGTTTCATGCTGATCGTTTTGTCTTTTAACACACCCTAAAGATCATAGGCCAGCAGTTCTTGAATGTGATTCTGCGAAGCCACCTACAGAGACTCTCATTCTCTTCAAGATGGATACCGAACTGTGCTAGTTGGAATCTGTTTTCAATAGCAAGTGGATGGTCGGCTTTGATGGTGCAAAAGGTGAGACGCGCTCAAATATACCAGGATACGACTGAATTTGGGTTCAACAGATATTGTGCTTGGGCTTATGTTTTCAGGTGAGACTGGAGACAATATCGGAGTTGTTACTAGTGATATTCGTTCAAAAGGCGTTGGTCTTCACAGAGTGGTAAGTCCATTTTCTCTCATTATCCGATGGCAGAACCTCCTGATCCTGTCTCGGAAGCATTGACATCGATTTGTAAACGCTGGTGAACTATCGTATGTACTTCTGCTCATTACGCTTGGAAATTCACATTATGTTTTTGCGTTCAACCGACGAAGTTGCCGAGCGGCGAGGGTGGCTGGCAATTTTTCATTTTCGGTCCTAGATAGACCCGACGAAGATTTCTCGGAAGGAAATTGTATTACAGATTACCATCGTATTGCATCATTGACACCTACGCTGGTTTGAGCGGAAGAATTCTGGTGCGTTTTGCCTGGAACATTCTGTATCTGTCGATGCGTCTTTCTTAGGGCCAATATCTGCATGGTGAATAAGTTGAGCCAGGGTCCAGTGTCCGTTGTAGGCGGTATGTGGTTCTAATTTACATAGGCCTGTGTAGCTGTGCTAATGGAAGTTGCCGTAGATGCTGCTGATTGATTGTATGTCTATTTATGAAATGATGCATGATGGCTGGTCTGATCGGTGGTAATACTTGCCCATTTCTATACGATTCGGGACTCAATTCAGGTTTACAAGATGCTGTGAGGTAAATGCAGACAATACAGTGCGCCGTACAGTAGTCTACTAGGATGGAAACTTGCGCTCGTCGAAAAAGGACTTGCCCATAAATGTCTTCTTGAGACATACAACCACTAGCGTCTACCTGTCATCTCCGAGATTCTGGAGATAGCCATCTCGATTCTTAACCAGACAATAACGACAGGAGACATACCGATCCAACAAAACTCCATCCTTTCCATGTCTGGTGTCAGATGCCGATTCAACAATATCGTTCTCGACAAGTTTGCAATTCCAGGAAAGCCAGTAATGCATATGGGGGTGCTTGGCGAGGGTCATCTGGAGGCTGGGGACAAAGAGCCCCATGCGCCAAATATGCTCCAGGTGGAAGATGGAAAGTCTGATGTGAAGACGCCCCTTTGATCTGCACCGACTATCATGATGGTATCACACAGTGCCTGTGTTCTTGCCGAGCCTCGCAAACACAACTCTGATCTCAGGTTTTACTTGAGACGCGAGACAAGATGCAATTGTCGTTCTGCCGTCATCGGCATCGGTGATGGGCTCGTTGCATCTTCTGCTGACCTTCAAGTTTTTGTTGATCAGAAGAGCTATGCTTATTCGGCTTACGTCATGGAAGCGAATCAGATGAAAGTCGGAGTGATTGATTGTTGTGACCGTTGGTGAAGGCATGAAGAAAGATCTCAAAAATATTTTTGAAGGTACAGAGACTGTCATGATAGCTTTTTAATATTAACGACTCATGCATGTATACCTCAAATGCCTCTGATATATGTAATCTATGTTACGTAGGCATCACACCTGTAACTAAAACATATGTATCCAGGTAATGTAAGTCAGATTTCCAATTCATTTTAGCTAAAGTGCTTTCGGGCTGCGAAAAGTGAGAAAAGAAGTGGGTTGTACGCGCATCTAGTGAACCTCCGATACCCAGGAGGCGGACCGGGGAAAGCCCTGCATACACACTAGCGTCGGTTTTGCAAGTTGCCCGTGGGAGTGGTACGAAGGTACAAGTGTGTAGAATGAACACCGGTCCGGGTGAGTATAAGTGCGGGCCGCATTCATGTGGAGGATGCTGTGGGGTCATTCGAAAATAAGTACAATAATGGAGTCATCGAAGTTGGACCAACGTGTTCGGTTGCCAGTTCTGTGCGGCCTAGTATAACTCCGGGCAATGCCTGACAGTACTCGTTTCGGTGGCGGGTGGAATTGAGATCGGGCTGCAGACAAAGCGACGCGAGAGCAAACCATGTAGCTAAGCAACGGAGAACGAAGGTGGTGGCACAAAAACAAGTGGCAACGCGCGCTCCGCACGGCTATCTGAAAAAGCTATTCTTCTGCTTAATTAATAGTCTCGACTTCGTTACTGACTCAAGTACAAAGTGTCGCCAACTCACATTCATACCGTAAGCAAAGTAGCGTGATGGGCGTAGTCTCTATCGTTGGAAATGGATGGCCCTATCGCAGCGTGAGTTTTCGTACCTTCAAGGGGCGTGTCCAGCCCGCAATCATCGTAGGTGATCGCTAGTAGTACAAGAACAGTAAAACTTTTGAAAGGGCTCAAAGTTCCAAATGAAGATTACGTTTGATGGAAAAAACAACATCTAATGCTGGCAGGCTGTAGTTATTGCTGTGCATCAAAGGCCAGGCCGCTGCCCCACAGAGAATATTTGCCAAATTGCGGTTGGCTGCGTAGTATACTATTGGATGCTTTGTAAGCTGGGTAATTGAATGATACCGGACCTGCGCCTGCCTTTGTCAAGGATCATCATCATCTCCAGCGACACCGCACCTGTGTATAATAGTACAGCCATCTCATCCTATGGTACTTTTATCTTCAAACCGTGTAATCGCCTAGGCATACTGTCATGCTGGCCCCTTCCAGAAACCACAGAGCAGAGGCAAAGTTTAACGTCGCTACTGAGTGTATGTCATTCAATTATTTACCTTTATTTTATGGTTTTTCTGACTATATGATAGTCCCACATCTAGGACTTCATTCAGCTGCTGCATCAGGCGACATCGGACTAGTTCAGTTTGCTCTCAATCATGGCCAACCAGTAAACTCTGTTTTAGACGGCGTTCTACCTTTACACGCTGCTTGTGCAGGTGGTAATGATCTCGTAGTCAATCTTCTCATCCAACACGGAGCAGACGTCAATGCATCAAGGTAAGTCCTCGTCATTAATCCATGATTCCGATCACATATATATGAACACTTTCCATAGACTTCCCCGCAGATATTCTGATCGCAGCCGTGATTCTGCCGCTCCTATAGTTGGTACTTCTGGTGCAACCCCACTTCACTTCGCTGCTGCAAACGGTCACGCAAGCGTCGTTCGCACCCTTCTTGTGCATGGTGCCCATCCTAATCGTCCAGATAAGCACGGCATCACCCCTGAGATTATTGCCCGTCAGAATGGTTGGGTTGAGTGCGCTGATATCCTCGCAAGCGAGATGCTTGCACGTGCGCGCGGTGACAATACACCTGATAGCGACAGTCATTCCTCTAGGGAGCGACCCCATCCTTGTGTCGAGCACGTTGAGTCTTCCCTCAGGAAGAAACTCCATTTCAAGCGCTCTATCGACCATGCTCTCACCGCACTCAAGTCCACAAGCGCCACCCCTGATATCGATCAAAAACCACTCTTTGTGCGCTCAGGCTCCTCTGAACAAGATGTCACGCAACCTCAAGGCTCGCCTTCGTCTGGTCGCCGCCCATCTTTACCTCATATCTACGACGAACCACCCCAGCGCCCCCCGCTCCCAAAAGCTTCACGTCGTCCCAGATCGGCAGGCACAGGCGCCGAGGCTGCCCCGCCCCGCAAACTGAACTCAAAGTTGTCACTCCTCAGCCTGTTCAAGAAATCAAATGTAGATACTTCTTCGTCGAGCGTTACCTCTGTCTCGGAGCCCCCGATCAATTCCCCCTCTTCTTCATCACCCGTCCCTGTCCCTGGGACAGCATCGCCTGCGTCACCTGCGGCAATAATATCTTCCCCGCGCGTCTTCCCCACACCACTTTCATCATCTCCGCAGGAGACACCCACGCATGACCTCCACCGCCGCAGGCCAGAAACCAATTCTACACGCACTTCCCCCGATCCAAATCCATGGCATCGTTCCATCAGTTCCTCGTCCATACCTGGCGAAGAAACGCTTCCCGAGTCAACAGCCCCTATGAGACCGGGCATACTGCGCATGCACACACGCTCAACTTCAGGCCATGGCTCTCAGCAATCCTCCTTGTCTCGTATCATCCGCTTTGAAAACTCTTCCTCTAGCTCCTCCCTCACCGCGCGCGCGCGCAGCCCACCCTCACGTGGGAGCGTTCTACATGACAGCCGCCTGCGTGCCCTCAGCATGGGCTCCTCAGCAGGTGCCCCGGACACCGATCGTATACCAGACACAATCGAAGAATCTCCACGAATCCCCCAGTCTCCCCCTCCCATCCTTGTCAACGCCATCGACCTCGATGACCTCGAAGACGAAGAAGAATACGGCGTACCCATCATCCACTCTCCATCCATGCCAAATATGATGCTCACCCCTGATCGCGCAGTGACACTGCCTGCTCAATTCCCATTCAGCATCAACGTACCACCACCTCCTGATGATAGTATCTTGTCTTCTGAAAGTCGCCTGCGTGGAGACTCTGTCAGCAGCTCAGGCACAACAGGTACTGCGAGCACATTCACACAATCTAGTGCAAGCGACTCACCATGGCCTCCAACGCCCCACTCATCTGGCGCCAGTCCTCTAATTGTATCCCGTTCCGTGGACACAGACACCGGCATACACATGGGCATAGACGCACTCCCCATATCCCCACGTGTTCGCAGAACGCCTTCAGGTCTTGACATGCCCTCAATATCCTCACGAGCAGAGGTAGAAGCGCTTGTTCAGCGGGCGCAGCAGTCTGTACTTGATATGGCTATTGATTTGGAGGAGAATACAAGGAGGGATCAAGGGACTGGACGGACGCCTTTGAGCTTGAGGTTGGCAATGTTTGGGGAGAGTTTGGCTATTGAGAGGAGGATGAAAGAGGAAGAGGATGCTGTTGGAAGGGGGGTGATGGTTGCTAATACAGGGACGACACCTGTCGGGAACAGTTTGGGTGTGGGTGAGAGGTCTTTGTTGTCGAGCAGTAGACCTCGGGCCATGGAGTTGGATTTTTCGAGGAGCAGCAGTAGGAGTGGTTCGTTGTTGTTCCTTTTTTTGCTTTTCACGTGTTGACACATGCTATAGGTGCATCCAGCGAGGACACGTCGTTGCAACACAGTACGCGGATAGCACCGGACGAAATCAGACGGACGGCGTCTGTCGATTTCAGGCGGACGATGTCAGATTCGCCCTTCACCAGCATCTCTCGAACTTCAGACAACACCCGACGTACACGTAGTCCTCCCGTCGCATCACGACACCTGCCCCTCTTGCACCACGACCCGAACCGGCATCCACATTCCCCGCTCCCCAGTCCACACACGCAATCATTCGAGACATCCACGTATACGCCACCGCGGCCGCGTACGCCTGACTCATGTGATACATACATAGATGAAGATACAGAACTGACGGGTTTGGGTATTGGTTTGGGTATGGGCTTGGGTATACCGCTCTCGCGCATCTCGACAGCTCCCACTCACGCTGGACGCATACCCACGATGCGGAACGCAGCAACGACACACGACGCATCAACAACGCGTAACTTATCACCATCTAAACGTAACCCAACGATGGCACGCAACGCATCGCCAGCAACAAGGACCACATCATCGTCAGGACCACGTGATATATCATCAACGCCAGCAACACGGAGCGTGAATAAATTATCCCGGATGGGATTCTCGACGTTGGAGGGGTGGCAGCCATCGTCGATAACGACGGGTTCGCCGCCTACGAAGCAGAGATTTGGGGGGATACGGACGATAGTTAGGGGGTTTCAGGGGAAGTAGGCGTGTCCTTGATTCCTATATTTTGCGCTGGACTTGGACTCGGACTCGGGGTACCTCGTCGTTCCCTATGCATATGCCTGGCAGGCTTTCGTTGATGGCCAGAGCTTACTTATTAGACGCTGTGTTGTGTGTTTTCTGCGCGTTTTGTTTTCTTGCATTTTTGACATGTATTATCCATCGTTGTCGTCGCCATTGTTTTTATTATTGTTGTTGTAGTATGGTGCTTGTGATAACTTACTTGTGTTTCGTTGACATTGTAACATATGCACTTTTTGATACCTGTTTGTAATTTTATTGATATGATTCTATGGGCGTGATGAATTGATGCTTGGATTTTTGGTGTGGTCGTGACTAGGAGAGAAAACTGCGATGTCTAAGCTTGGCTGAAAATTATTGTGGGCTAATCCATGCGACTATTTCCAGTTCAGAGATATTCAAAGCACCACCATACTCACAGTGGTCGAGTCCGCAAAAGCGATGCACAGTCATCTTTTGATCGTTGAAGTTCCTGCATTCGCAGCCGCCTCAAACGAATATTCACATAGGAATCAAAGTATCGTTGTTCAGCATTGCCCTGCCGAGGACGTTCCAACGAAAATTTCGCTCGCGAGCCAATTAGCAATTCTCGCAAGAGACCCGGTCTTTCGAAGTCCAAACATCTCATTCATAAACGTCCCAAGGTAACGGCCCGTTATACACCATCCCCGCATCATCAGGACACCACTCCAACAACCCCCTCAACTCCGGTGCCGATGCATGATAGGAATGAAATCGTAGAAACGGGTTCCGCGCCCGTCGCTTGGCGAGCAAAAAATCGTGGCAACCATACAAATCGAGTTGATACGGAGCGTATCCATTCTTAACCTGGATTCCAGTTGAACACAGCATAAAACCGCTGAGGAAGACAAAGGTGCTTACTTCGCCGATACGAGCTGACTCCTCGTTAGCGGAAGGCTCGATTCCGATGTATTCAAAATGATTAGCAGGGAATCGAAGGGCTGTGCGGTGAAGCTCTTCGAAACGACGGCGCTTCATGTCGTAGCCGACGATGGTGACCTGTAGGGGATACCGGCCTGTTATTTCGTGAAAACGAGCCAGCGAGAATAAAAAGTTTTGGTATGAATCAAGAGCGTAGGTCTCTGTTGTCGCACGAGGGAAATGGGGCGCGTGGGATGGTTGTTTTGAGTCGGGGTGAAAAAGCCCTAGACTTATTGCTAAACGCATGTAAGATTCTGCTTCTGTCGTGGTCGACTGCAGTCTAGTTTGACCACTAGAAAGGAGGGTTAGCGAGACGAACTTGTATCCTGGGTTGAATACCTGCCCGCTGAAAATGAGTAAGGATGAATCATCTTTGAGCGTTATTTCTACTCTGAAATTTATCAGCTTCGTGATTTGGTGATTTGGTGAGAAGACATACCCTCGTCTGATGTGTTCTACGAACGCAGAAATCCTGTAACTACCTCCCCCTCTCTGATATTCCTCTAACGTCCACTGACCTGCATCTAACACCTGATCAGGCTGCGTACCAGTCCAAATTGCGTGACCTGGAACAATGACGAGATGAGAGAGGTTTTCTAGAGTTGTATTACGAGCTATGGTCGAGAGGATGCTCTGAGGGGGCGTGTAAGTTACCAGTGAAGGCGGAAAAGAGGAAAATATAAAAGCGAGGTTATATAAGAATGAAACGCAGAAGCATCCTGCGAGAATGATGATGCTTAGGTTCGTGAACCTTGATCGCGAACGTAGGAGGCTGAGAGCCCGTCTGAGGTCGGACGAGGAGAATGTGCGGAGGTGCTGGGAGGTTCCTCGTCGGTTGGATGAGACTGGTGAGGGAAGCATAGGGCTGCGATAATATCAAACGCGTCCGCTGGTAACCCAGTCAGTCGTTACGCGTTAAGCATTCGTAGAAAGTTGGCTGGCTAAGCCAGCCTGGCTTGTACACGGTTCCCCAGTCACGTGAGATCCATTCAGCAGTGTTCAGCTGTTTACGCGTTCATTGAACGTTCACGCGGCGCACGCCTTAAATCAGTGTTCAAACGTTCACGGCTCGTGCTCACGACCTTGAAATAATAGGTACTCTAAATTTTGGCTGCTGCTTACTCCTGCTGCTTACGACGCTTTTCAGGCCGCAGGCATGTTAATTCCTCGACACATTGGTCCAAAATATGGCAACAGGGTGACGGTCAAGCAAATCGCACGTTACTTGAATGGTGAGCTGGTGGCAGTGGCTGCTGGCTACCACAATCGTCAATTGAAAATTTTGGTATAACGGTTCACGCGTTTTAAACAGGTCCAGGAAATGGTACAGCCAAGCCCCGTTCGCGGCTCGCATTCGCATTTGACATCGTATGGTTTGGACTGATGCCATGAGACTGTCCAACGACTTACTGTGTCTTGCACTCTTCCCAGGATGGTGTTCTCCTTCGTGGAAAGAACCCCCTGCCTGCTGCCAAAGAGGCGTTATCGATCCTTGATGGCAACAATAAACTTGGCCTGTACTTGTGTCTTTCCTGTTGCTTATCATCTAGTTAGCTGACTCACTTAAAGCAAGATACCCTTTATTCTGGTAGATGATTACTATGTCCTTTTGTGATCTAAGCATTCAATTGTTGCCGCAGCTCACCAATGGCGGTGGTGTGAGCGAAGAGGAACGGTGTCGCAAGTTGAGTTCGCAGCTTGGTGTACAGGTGCTATATCAAAGTTATCCTGAAACCTCAATTTTACTGACAAATTTGGACAGATTCATCCTGACCAATTCATACAGTCTCACACTGTTCTGAAGTCTATTGTACACAACTACGTTGACGTGCCAGTCTTGGTTCTTGGAGGTCAGGGTGATACCCTTCGGAGGGTCGCAGAAGGGTACAAAATTCTTGTAGCTTGCATCTAAATCCTATTGATGGAATCTCAATTAACTGCAGATACGGCTTCCGGAAAGCTTATACTACCCTTGATGTTCTCAATTGGAACCCATCGTGAGTTCTTTACTTCCTTGATGGTTTTGACTCGACTTTTTTCATGTTCCCAGGATATGGCCTTTTCATAACCTCACACAAGAAGAAAGAGCATCCGTCAGGGTAATATTCTCACTCGCTCAGGCGAACGGCTTACACAAACATGATGACATAGCCGGCCGACTTCTCGAAGATCCAATTTGGCGCAATCTTTGTTTTCCATGATCCTAGAAATTGGGCTCTCGACACCCAAATCATGTGTGATGTGATCCAGGGTATCATTGGGGGATCTCATGAAACCAATCATACACGAAAGCCTGTCGACCTAGTATTTTGCAACCCCGATTTAATATGGCAGTCGGATTTTGAGGCTCCTCGTATGGGCCAAGGAGCTTTTAGAGTAGCATTCCAGGCCGTTTTCCAGGCGAGTTTGTCATTAACAGCTAAATCCCATCGAGAACAATCTGATGTATTGTTTTTGCAGTCATTGACAGGGTCCACATATCCCTACATCCAATTTGGCAAACCAACTGAGGCCACGTACAATTTTGCCGAGATTATGCTCAAGCATCGCTTACAGGGTGTACCCAAATCATCATTGTTCGTAAAACCTGGTGACATGTCCGTCCTCGCGGTCAGCTAACGACCGTACAACGCGCTACCAGGTACATGGTGGGCGGTACGTATTTTGCAATTCTTGCTCTCAATGTGACCCTCAATTTTATGTCACCGCAGATAACCCAGAATCTGATATAGCAGGTGCCAATACTGCAGGATGGAAATCAATTCTAGTTCACACAGGTGTATACGATCTCCATCGTGGACCTCCAAGTCATCAGCCCACTCATCAAGCAGAGGATGTCGCAGAGGCAGTTCGTTGGGCGTTAGAACAAGAATTCTGCTAATACATTACTGATATGGGACGAATTTTACATCACGGTAGATGCTATTATCTCTTCCACCGATCAGTCATAGAGTGCGGAAGCTGATACATGACCCTGAAGGTGGTATCGACAAGATGGTGCGACGGGGAGCATTGTCCGGGGCCAGTGAATGGTGGCAATGATCTCATGCATAACTTAGACTACACATATTTTTGGATTAGTCTAGACCATCCGCAATTATATCCGACCAACTTGCAGATTGACAATCGGAGATCTCAATCAGGTTCTGAGGTAATAGTCAAATCCCACAACTCCACGCAGTTAACCGGCCCCCACAACAGCGCGCACACTGAACAGGTGCCTGCCGCAAGGAGATTGATCGAAAAGGAGATTTCATCGGAGGTTCTCGCAGGGGCCATACTACAACCAATGTCGGGTGCACTTCGCACGATTCTTGGCACCGAAGCCTCTAACACCGTAACGGCCGCAGTAATGTCAACATACCAATGGCAAGCTCCGTGTCATGAGTTCACATTTCTGATTCGATGTTGAATTCATCTGAGCGGTTACTATGTATTGGTTTTCCAAACCACTTGGTGTCGTGGCTGGCAAAATGATCAACCTAACAGTGCTGGACTACAGTTCTGCTTACCGTACTAGGTGCTGTCAAGGAGTTCAACCGACCCCGCTGAAAACGGTTTTTCCAAACCGTTCAACATCCGTCCAATACAAACTTGCAAAGTATCTACAAGTAGTAAGCAAAAAGAAGTTTAGAACAAGACAGACAAACTCTTAGTACACTGACCTAACCTTGAATACTAACTAACTAATCACTATCATGATATAAATGAACCTAACCTAAACCTAACAAACCTTCGGTCGGGTGAGCCCAAATTGATACAGGAAGCCATGGGTCATGGGTAAAGAGCAGAGTCAAACAGGCTGCATGGCATCAGGCAGGCACCGTTGCTTCACGTTCTTCCTCAGGCTCATTGCTGCCAGTGGACTCTCCTACCCTGTTCCGACAATCGCAACATCATGACCCACGGAAAGATCCTTTTAGTGCTATTGCCGAGACCGAAAATAACGACTAGAAGACTGAAAACAAGAGTAATTCGCAGCCAGCTAGTGAGCACAGCCGATGATTCATTGAAGTCGGTGTCAGATTCCGGATGCCGTGGTATACCAGGCCCTTCATATTCTCCAACCTTAAAATTTCGCTTACGACTTAAAGCCGTGGTGGCGGATCATTAAGGCATGGCGTGAGCTAGTGCTCTGTCATGACTCGTAGGGTCAGTGTGTATGTACCACAATCCGTGTCGCATGCGGCTGATATTTGCTAGTGCAGTGACAGAAAGTTTCAAGATCAAAGTTAATTTTTGATTCTGTGGATAGCAATATAAAAAATTTCAGCTCGCGACTTGTGATAGCTCAAACATTGGCCCAATGTGACCAAGCGGAAAAACTCACACTTCGTAGGATGCCCGAAATTGACTTGGCCTCGTCATAGTACCTCAATTGCTGCAGTTAGTACCAACCCTCTTCATATGACGACTCACGAAGCAAACACCAGAGCCTTTGAGTCCAGAATCCAGACCAGAGGACGAATGGGATCGCTGGCGGCCACGGTTGATTCCGCGATGAACCTGAAGGCTAGTAGTAAAGGCCGGGTTATTTGAATTGAGCTTAATTAAGTTTTAAGTTACAAAAATTGAGATTTTCCTAATGCAGCTGGAGAGGAGCAAGTAGGCGGCGGCAGGCACGAATCGGTTCTTCGCCCTCATTTGTTTCGTTCTCGCAATGCATGGTAATAGATCACATTGGACACGCAAATGTAGATGTCCTTTGACTAGTAGGGTGAGGTGGAAGGAAGTTCAACGTTCAACAACGCAGAGGATCTTCATGTGACTGCTTACAAATTACAAAGGCTGTGCTTCAACTTGTTCAACTTCATCAGTACTGTCGCAAGCTCGCATAGTACACGTCGATCGTCCATCTTTCTGCAAGATCCCACCGTGACTACGGCTTGATCAATAATCTAAGCAAATCTACGGAAGTACCTTGTGCGAGAATCTGCGCGAAATTACGATACCTCCATTGAACCAGCGTCGCTAGAAAATCTACGATGAATCCCATTCTCTATGGTCACCTACGGATATTTTGTGGTTCATCATGATGTTACGGGTGCGGTGAGGGCCGATTTTCAGCGGAGATGAGTCCTCATAAACTCCTCGGGTATTCACTGGCTGGCAGGTTCAAACTACACATTGCCCGTGAGACCAATTTCAAGTATGATTAAGGCTGTACCACACTAACTTCAAATTCAATAATATTAATACAGATTTAGAGGCCAGCGCTTCGTTTTCGCACTCGATCAATTAGTAAGTCCGGAACTATCCTGTTTACAACTAGTATTCTAGGGCCAACCGTCGGTGCAGACAACAGTCTAGTGTTGGTCCGTTGGTCCGCCGTGTGGTAAATATTCGTGATCATGCTCTCCCACAGTTAGCACTGTTGGCCAGCAATACGGCGCGCCAGTTTTGCCACTCCAGTCCCGGCAAACTCGGAGGGTTCTGCGGCAAAAACCAGGCGCATCCAGTAGCAGGGTAGCTTATGATGAGTCGACTCAGACGAATCTGTGACAGATTCGTCCCCAGGACCACAGCGCACTACCACATGGTCACATCCATTCCGATGTTACCATCATTCGCAGCCTTGTTCACTCGACCCTGTCTTACCTTGTCATTCATTGATTCCTTGGCCCCTGAGCTTCGCTTGCTGAGATTCATCGCTCGCAACTTGTAAATTTCGGCTTCTGCTTGTTTTCTATCTGACAGGATGGACCGTAATCATTATGACCTGAGGATGATCCGGCTCTCGCACCTCCACTTCTGACGCAAATCCACATATCCAGCTGCAATACACCGAGAGGTGATAAGCTTCACAAAATAAAACCTATAAAAGCATCTTTCAATAGAGACGATGGTCCTCATAATCACCCTTTCAAGTTGATCATTCAGGAAATATGTCTGGCACAGAAACCTTCGCTGTTCCGTTGTCTGCAGGTAAGTCCGCCTTTCAAAATCAGTCTCAGTCTACTTATTGTTGAATATATCAGACGCTATCTCCTCCGTGTGGCTTGCTGCATTGATTTCTGACCTTTCCAGCCCCAGTTTTACTCTCAAGCGCTCGTTTACAAACGATAGCTACTGGCGAGATCTCTTGGCATTCACTCCTGATTTTCGTACCTTGCATGCACTTCCAGAAATCCAGCATTTTTTCTCAGTCCCGGTTGAACTTGCGCGGCCAAGTCGGTTCCGACTCTTGCCAGGTGTTCGTCAGAGGCGCATTGGTCCTACAAAAACGTTCATCCAGGGAATTGTTCAGTTCCATACGGTCATAGCGCAGTGCACTGGCGTGTTCACTCTGACTCAAGGCGAGGACTCCTCATGGAAGGCTTGGTCCTTTGTGACCATGATGGATCAGTTGTCCGGCGTAGTCGATTGCTTTAGTGCACATACGCCTCTCTGCTGTCCTGCTGAGTGGAAAACTACAATGGAGTACACAGCGGTCGTCGTGGGTGCAGGTCAGTGCGGCTTATCCGTGGCTGCCCGTTTGGAGAATCTCGGCATCTCTACGCTTGTCTTGGAGAGATCTAGCGCAATTGGCAATAATTGGCGTTCTCGATACGAGTCACTGGAGACGAATACTCCAAGGGCGTACAGTGCGTGCAGCTGAAGAACTCCCAACTTCGTCCTATGCTGACGTACCAGCAGATCATCTTCCCTTCGTCGCATTCCCAGAGGGATGCGGAAAATATATCCCCTGTAGAGACGTTGCTGACTATCTTGAAAATTACCAAAGGACTCTTGGTCTTCACGTGTTGACCTCGGCGTGCATTTCTGCTACTTCATATGACGCTTCGTCAAGTACCTGGACATTATCTATATCTCTTTCAGGGCAAGCCTCCATTACTGTGACAGCCCGGCACCTGATTGGTGCAACAGGCACTGGTACAATGGGAGGTGCACTCCCGTTTATGCCGTCGATTCCAGAAAAAGTACGCAGCAGGACTTAATTTTTTGTCGACGCTGACTCTCTGTGTGCAGAGTTCCTTTCTCGGTTCTGTTATCCATTCAAGTGAATACAAGTCCTCTTCCTGTATCGGCGCGCAGAAAGTCGTCGTCGTCGGCGCAGGATGCTCTGCGCACGATATTGCTCAGGACATGGCAAATCATGGGTCTCAGACAGTGCTTGTCCAGCGTTCTCCAACTGCCGTTGTGAGTCGCCAGACGATCGACCGTCTACTTACCGGTAATATCAGTGTATTTGCTGCGGAGATCTCCATTGATTTGACTCGTAGGATATGTTGGGCAGGACGTTCCTGCGACAGAGATCGCTGATCGCTTTTATGTCGCTCTCCCCTTGACAACTCTACAAAATCCCCAGTACGACACCATGGAAATACATGCCCACATCGACCAGTTCGTTGGCAAAATTCGAAAATGATTTCTTCATCTCACCCTTTTCTCTTAGGGACCTCAGGGAGAACTTGTCTCAGCGCGGATATCTCCTTCCCGGCCCCGAGGACAATTTCCTGCACCGTCTCTCCGTTCGACGAGGCGAGTTTGTTCACTCTGTATCGTTCTATTTTTCTTACCGGCAAATATTCCAGGTGGCTTCTATATCGACCGTGGTTGTGCAAAGCTCATCACGTCTGGCAAGGTATTATTACTTTTGCTGGGTTTCCCCACGCGTGTTGCTTACTAGCAACTAGATCACTGTCAAGTCCGGGCATGAGATTTCCCACTTCTCCCCTTCCGGGTTGGTATTCGACGATGGTTCGCGAGTAGTCGCAGACCTTGTCATTTTGGCTACTGGGTAAATATTTATCCGTCTGATCGTGTACTTCTAACACATCATTTACAGGTACTCGAAAACTACAATTAAACAAGTTGCCGAGAGCCTTTTTGGGGCCCAGGTCGCTGATGCCGTCCATGAGCTTGGAGGATGGGATAATGATAATGAGCTCGCAGGTGTTTGGAGGCCGACTGGACGTCAGTATTCTGTTGATCTGATTGCGCGACTCGGTAATGCTGACGTTCTGTTCCAGACGATGGACTCTGGTTCGCGGAGGGCGATCTATTTTCTGCACGGTTCTACTCCCAATTCCTTGCGTTACAGATAATGGCGAGGGAGATGGGATTGTTGAGTCCAGACCAGAGAACTTACATCTCATGCTGATTTCTGGGATCAGCTTTTCAATTACCCTAGATATTAAGTACACGAGGTGTCCTTAGCTGCTGCCAACAACTTGTCAATATCATTATTTATACGCAACATACTGCAAGCATTACAACAATCAACTATACCATCTTCAACTGCTTTCTATTGGGGTTGCCTCAAACACAGGCTCAGGGATGCCTATACTACGGTCACGACAGGTCGACATCTCGATGACTTCGAGCCGGTCCATCCTTAGATCCTCAGGCTAAATAAAATCAGTATCGATACAGCGGGCTTCCAAGAGAAACCTACATCGTCATCCGCCGAGTCTACCATCTTGGCTAAATAAATCCTGTCCCCATCGACCCACATTTCGATTGACTCCATGATGTCGAAGACTCTATCGGACACAACCTCGACATAAGGCAGAGATGTTGTTAACGTCTTTCTGGAATCACGAATTTCTGTTTCAGACGGCTCTCTCACCACTCGTCCTAGACCCTGCCGGCGTTCAACAGCCAACGGACTGAAGTCCATCATATGTAATCTATACCGGGACCCGGTGCCTGTGGGGAATATCTGTAGAACTCGATTCCCGCTGACGTAGACTTTCCAGGAATCTGGGAACACGCGGCTATTTGTGGGGCCCCAATTTTGCCATGGTATTGTCACCGCCTTTTCACCAACGTGCTCCGAGTCAAAATCGAAGAAAATGCTGGTGGAAATGACGAAGACGAGCCGTGGACAGAGCGTGGCGTAGCATAACACTCGATGTTCAGGGTCTGAAGTCCACATCGTTTGTTGGGCTCGCATATGCAATTGCGAGCCGTGCGCAATATCATCGATGGGCAAAAGACACTTTTTATGCTCCACTGGAAAAGGCAACGAGTAGCATGCCAGTAAATGCGGTTCCCGGGACATATCCTCGATTGAATAAAGCTTGAAATTATCGCTGAGCATCAGCAACCTATTGTTTCCAACAAAGCAAAAATCGATCGAATCTTCGAAATGTGACATTGCATCACTGAGGTTGCACTAGATAAATCAATTGTCAGCTTTCAAGTCTCTCGGCTAGTATGTCTGACGATGCCAGCTCACATTGGACGTTGTTGAGTGTTGCCAGTCCCAAAGTTGCAACCACCAGATGACTCGAGATGTGTTGGTCGGATCATCAAACATTGGGGAGCACTGGAGAGCGAGATACCTCCCAAAACCCTTGAGCCTCAGATTCTCCGTCACCGTGAATGAGTCATGGCTATCTTGTGCGGTAAGCACCGACAGAAGCAGTGTTTGCCCAGCAGCTTGAGGGTGAATACCATCTCCATCCAGGGCTCTAAGGTCAACGTAGAATCTCCCCTCCTGGAGCATATTCCGACTGACAGCATACGCGATGGCGATCAGGTTTTGTGCTGGGTCCATATACACATCGACGATATATGCATTGGGAACTGGACACAGCGATCCTGAAAACCAATGTCGTTCGACTGGTTGCTGTGAGGGATTCGGCAGTATTGGAATGATCTTGGCCCAGTTTCCCGAGTCTTCACCTTCGTACCATGAACAGAAATGCCCATCAGCGATATATGTCCTCACTTCATAGAAATGTTCCTGTATAGGGAGTGTTTGGAAAGAGCGAGCGTGGAGGTTAAACTGCAGCCATGCGTGGGCTTTGTCTCTCAGGAGTTGTAGGCGCTGAGAAACAGGAGTGTGGTTGCCAAGATCCGTGATGGGGACTGGGAGTAGTCGTTGGCCGCCGAGTTCTACAATGTACTGCAGCTCTGAGGATAGTACGTATATCTGCCGAAGGGCCCTGCATATCTGCCAGCAAAAAAATTAAACTTAATCTAGGAGGTTCAACATCGACACTCACAGATGTACAACGAAGAATATCTTGCCAAGGAAGGAAGCTTAGAATGTAAGAGTGAAGTTCTTCAGCAAGAGCCAGGAACTCTAATTTGGGCTTTATGTCTGTCCCAGCTTGGTCCATTGGGTCATTCATGTCGTGAGGGCGCCTATAAAGTCCCATACGATGATTGTATGCCACTAATAATTGATAACAGGCGACAACCGTCTAAAACTGGCCTAGCATAGCTTCCTGAGCCTATTGTCCTAAACAAGATAATGCTCGATACAATACTGGTGTGGCAGACTCCGCCCACCCTGACTTTGGCCGCAAAGCAAACTGACGTTTGGTTTCAGAGGGTGATCTCGTGATTCTGCTCCTGGTTCAGCGCGTTACAGATAATGGCTAGGGAGATGTGATTATCACTTGGTCCAGACCAGAGTACCTACCTGATGATGAGAGGACGCGGTTCGAATGCAAGCCATGTAGGTGGTTCATTCGAGGACAGACCGTGGCGAGTTCTTACCAGTACTTCACAGTTGTAGTCTGTTCGGAATTTCATTAACTATCGTGTGAATTGATAAGGCTCACTTAGACCGTCATATCACGTGACTAAAAGTCGACGACACGAAAGCAAAGTGGATCCCACAACTAGCAACAGTGGAGTACTCGATGTATTGCAACGACGTTCGATTCAAGAACAGGTTTGGGCATCAAGTATAATGACAAATAGTGCAAGTAATGGAACTTCCCTACTATCCATAGTAAATGGCTGTTCAATTAGAGCTTCTCCCCATTTCTTGTGACCGCTTAAGCAGACTGGCAACGACAGACAAAACATATAGAGGGCTATCCCATAACTGTGCTGCCAAAGGCCCAAAGCAACACGAAGGAAATGAAAATGTGTTTTGAGCATGGAGCGAATGATAACAATCAAGCAGCTTTAAGAATCTTTTCTAACACTCGTGTTTAGCAGTATTGTCATGCAGTGCGATGGCAGCAACCATGTGATCTTACATGCATGTCAGACTGTATCGAGATTCGATATCATCAAAAACGTGCGATGTAGCTCGAGGTAGCTCATATGCATGAACTATTGCACAGATTTCATCAAGATGAGTTGCTTACCTAGACTGCAAAGTAGCGGGTCTACTTCGCCCATTCCAGAAATAACCGTTGACTTTAAATATAGAACTAGCTGTTATCGGTATCTTCACGAGATATGAGATTGCACTGAACTATCATGTCGTCTGCAGTACCGCGTCTGGCAGTAGTCGCCGCTGGGGCCATGGGCGCTGCCGTGGCGAAACGCCTGACTAGCTTCGGCTGCACAGTCTACACCAACCTTGACGGCCGCTCTGAAGATACACGAAAGCGAGCACAAGATGCCGGGATGATTGACCTCTCTGTCGACGAGCTTGTGCTCAAGTCAGACTGGATTCTGAGTATTTTACCGCCAAGAGATGCTGTGTCATTTGCCGAAAAGATACAGGAAGTTGCCGCAAAATACGGAAGGGCGTTACCCTCCCCACAGACGTTTGTTGACTGCAATGCTGTCAATCCGGAAACGGTAAAACGTATCGCGGCGCTATTTTCAGGGACGAGCATCAGGTTTGTTGATGCTGGCATTATTGGAGGGCCCCCGAAGGGCGACCAAAATCCTACATTTTACGCTTCAGCGGAAGATGTGAAAATTTTGGATGAATTCACTGCACTGTCGAAGTATGGTTTGAAACTATCTCCTCTTAAGGGAAAAGGCGTGGGGATCGGAGACGCTAGCGCACTGAAGATGTCGTATGCTGTGAGTGGAACGGGCAGGCGAACAAGTTGTACGTTACTAAAAACACGTTTAACAGGGAATATCAAAGGGAACAACGGGATTGTATACCACGATGGTGTTAGGTGACTGTCATCTTCTTGTGAAGAAATCGGGTAATTGACGCAAGGCAGCGGCTCATGCATCGTCGCCTGCAACCGCGGATGCTCTCATGAGGGAACTACAGATGTCGCAGCCAATTTTGTTGGACCGTCTAGTGAAGACTGTACCGCCTATGCTACCGAAAGCGTACAGATGGATTGGGGAGATGGAAGAAATTGCTGACTTTGTTGGTGGGAGCGAGGGAGACGTCTACCGGGGTATAGCGAAGGTATATGAGCGGATTGAAAAGTCGATAGCGGGTGATCAAGAAGATATAGCGACGCTGACGAAATTTGTAGAGAAAGCAAAGGAATCACGCTAGGATAGACTAGGATACTGCAGAAGGCAACTCACATGGATGAAAATTTGTTAACGGGATGAAGTAAGTGGGTTCACGTTGGTTACAGCAACGTAAATGAACTATGCTGCAACTTGTACTTATATTGATGGTTCTGATCTGATATACTTTTCCGAATTCGGGAGGATCGATTACGGCCTTGCAAGGCAATTGCAAGGGGTTACTATCTTTAAGCGATAGTCGAAACGTTGACTGTCGTCGGAACCGTCTACCTTCAATTTTTTCTCTTTTGATTTCCTGCTTTTTGATCGTCTCCTCATAGTTTCTTGATTTGATAAAACACCCAGTTTTCGTCGTCGTTGTCGTCGGGCTCCTTACGTCCATCGGGATTCTTGTCACCTTGGCGCCTGGGAAATCTCCAGCTCATCCACTTTTTGAATCGTCAAGAGACCCATTCCTTGAACATGGCTGTTGCTGTGAACGAGGCAACCGCTGATTTGAGACTGCTTTCTCAGCCATCAGACCCTCAGACAGTCCCTGGGTCACAGGCACCCCCCTCTGCAGCCGATCCAGACGCAAAGACCAATGGACATACCACGGATACTTCTGGCATACCCCAAGTAAACGTCAATGGCGAGCCCGTGAGCAGTCTCCGGCTGTCAGCAAGTTTTTGCCGTGTAGATGCGGAGGATGCGAGATGGGGCTCCAATTTTTGGGTGACTTTAGTAGATCCGCAGGTATTCATCTTGTCTCGATCGTCCATATGGGTTCATGTTTAGAACGCACTTTTGCAAGACTAGTACTGTATTCTTCGCGTGCCCTGCGACTGGACAAGTGAGCTGGGATCCACCAGCTGGTACGTTTGTGTGCGTGATGTCACAATTTCAAATATCGAGCTCTATGTTCTTACGGCTTGTATTTGTGCAGTTTACCTCCGAGTACGGAGGGAGAGTGGTGGGAGCTCAGTGATGACTCCCGAGGTGGAATTCCATACTATTATCAAACCAAGACAGGGGAGACAGTCTGGGAACGTCCAGATGGTTTTGTTATTCCCCTGACCATCATTCAAGTGATACATTCATGTCAACTGATTTCTCTTACAAGAGTAGCTGATGCCCTTTCCACAGCAAACCGCCCTGGGTCGTCGCCTCTCGCAAACTGGCATGCGCAAAACGACATCGGATTCCCCTTCAGCGCCAGGCCGGTCTCCCTGTATAACTCGGGCTCGCTCACAGGCAAGCATACAAGACGCACGCCATACATCACTCCGTTCCAACGAGGAGCCCCCGTTGCCCCGACACTCGTTATCATCTATGCGGAGTTCGCCAGGAAGGATGTCGGCTTCTGGCGCTAGTCCGACCAAGAAGCCTCCTACCGTAAGGCGCTCATTCACCACAGACCAATATAGCCATCCAGGCACCCCTCGTGGATGGACAAATGGACATCATCTACCCCCTATACCCGCTTCCCCATACGCAACAGAACCTTCCACACCATCCTCACGAAAATCATTGTCAACGCCACCTGCCAAGGTTGCAGCGAACGGGAGTACACGATCGAGTCGCCACAAAGAGAAAGACAAACGTCTAACTTCAGATATCAATGACACCTCACCATCGCGATCGCGGGCCAAATCGTCCTCTTATGTACCACACCGATCTCCCGTTCCACAAAGTCTCAACGCTGCTGTAGAGATGTTGTCATTTTCTGAGCGACGGGCTGCTTCTGACATTGGTCACGGGCTACCACCGTCATCCCCACCGGCCATGGATAAACCACGGCCAAGCACAAACCATTCTCCCAAAGAGAAGACGAATGAAAAACGAGAAGTTCCTCAAACTCCAAAATTGGCTCCGGGTAACAGTTTTTGGATGGCGCGTAGTACGTCGACCCCTCCCACCACAGTACTCGGTAAGACTATCAGCAGTCCTGTTCTCAACAAAGGTACAACTTTTCACTACCTATACTTTCTTGTCTGACAACCTGCGTCCAGAGGCAACCAAGAACATGAGCGCCGTCAAGAGTCCCACGGGAGGAAAACCAATTCCGATCACCAGGCAACCTAATCACCTTGCTCCTACTACAACTTTAGCATCTGGGTAAGCACGCCACATTTATAGATTAGTAGTGTCTCATACCTCCTCCCAGCACATATCCTGCCCTTCCTCATGACCTCGCATCAGACATTCAACAATTCGTCGAATCAGACTACGCAAGACAATATTTCTCGACACATCGTACAGGCTTCATCTTCAGGCGTAAGGTTCCCGTTGCACAGATGATGACATGGCAAAAGGCTTGTACTATCTCTAGTTCTTGCGGCTAGCTAGCTAACATACATCCAGGCGCCCCTCAACTCGCCGCTTCTCACATTGAATCGTTCGCTCAAGAACGATGCAGTCCGGATCTTCAAAGTCATCCAACACATCATGGGCGATCGTGAACGTGAGAAATCTGCCGGTATACCCGTTCACAATGGTTCTGTGCACTCCCTTACGGGAGGTACCGTTGGCTTACTAGAGGAAGAGCGATGGTTGCTTGGGGAAGGTTTGTCTCATGGCGAGCTAAGGGATGAGATATATTGTCAGTTGATGAAGCAGCTCAACGGGAATCCCAATACGTATGTCATCAGTCTACATCTGATCTCCAGCCATCTCACAAGCGTTTCAGAGAAAGCGTTTTTAAAGGCTGGCAAATGCTTTGCGTGCTCCTCACTGCTTTCCCGCCCTCGAAGAACTTTGAGACCTACCTGCGTTCCTTTATGCAACAGCGAACGGCTCAGCAAGAGGGCAGGGTTGACGTGATAGCCAAGCACTGCCTCCGCCGTCTGGTTGCGATCTCGAAGAAAGGACCACGCGGAAAACCTCCGACAATGGCAGAGATCGAGACGGCATCGGACGCCGCCTTCAATCCGTCCACATTTGGAGAATCGCTGGACGCGACGATGCGTCTGCAAGAGCGTAACTACCCACACGAAAAGATCCCCATCATTCTCCCATTCCTCGCAGACGGAATTCTCGCTCTTGGAGGCATGAAAGCAGAAGGCATCTTCCGCGTTCCTGGGGATAGCGACTCCGTGTCAGAACTGAAGTTGCGCATTGATAGGGGCTATTATACGCTTGACAGCGTTGATGATCCGCATGTCCTAGCTTCATTGCTGAAGCTCTGGTTGCGTGAGTTATGCGACCCACTGGTACCCGAAGAGATGTACAACGACTGCATCACGCATTCTCACGAACCTGAAACGTGCATACAGCTCATTAGACGTCTGCCTACGATAAATAGACGGGTCGTTATTTTCCTAATCAGCTTCTTGCAGTTCTTTTTGGAGGAGAAGGT